TACTACTGTAGCACCACTAACTATTACTACTACTACTACTACTACTATTACTACTGTAGCACTACCACTACTATTACTACTATTACTACTTTTACTACTACTACTACTACTACTGTAGCACTACTAAACTACTACTACTACTACTACTACTGTAGTACTACTACTACTACTACTACAGTAGCACCTCTAACTATTACTACTACTCCTACTACTACTACTGTAGAACCACCAACTGTTACTACTACTACTACTACTACTACTACTACTACTATAGTACCACTAACAACTACTACTACTACTACTACTACTACTACTACAGTAGCACCACTAACTATTACTACTACTACTACTACCGTAGCACCACTAACTAACTATTACTACTACTACTACTACTACTACTACTACTGTAGCACCACTAACTATTACTACTACTACTATTACTAATACTACTGCTACTACTGTAGCACTACTAACTACTACTACTACTACTTCTACTACTGTAGCACCAGTAATTACTACTACTTCTACTACTACTACTACTACTACTGTAGCACCACTAACTACTAATACTACTACTGTAGCACTACTACTACTACTACTACTACTACTATTACTACTACTACTACTACTACTGTAGCACCACTAACTACTAATACTACTACTACTACTACTACTGTAGCACTACTACTACTATTACTACTACTACTACTACTACTTTAGCACTACTACTACTACTACTACTGTAGCACTACTACTACTACTACTACTACTACTACTACTACTACTACTACTGTAGCACCACTAACTATTACTACTACTACTATTACTACTACTACTATTACTACTGTAGCACTACCACTACTATTACTACTATTACTACTGTAGCACTACTAACTACTACTACTACTACTACTACTACTGTAGCACCACTAACTACTACTACTGTAGCACCACTAACTATTACTACTACTACTACTACTGTAGCACCACTAACTATTACTACTACTACTACTACTACTACTACTACTATAGCACCACTAACTATTACTACTACTACTACTACTATAGCACCACTAACTACTACTACTGTAGCACCACTAACTACTACTACTACTACTACTACTACTACTACTACTACTACTGTAGCACCACTAACTACTACTACTGTAGCACCACTAACTACTACTATAACTACTACTACTACTACGCTTCTAATGGTGCTACTTGAATGCTGATCGATGTTCTCCTGGTTGTAAGATAACTGGTATAACGTTGCATTAAATTGTATGTATGTTTATGTTGTACATTTTATATTGTCCTTACTGACTCTCTCTCTCCCTCCACAGTACCTGTTAGAAATGAAAAGTTTAATACTGCCCCCAGAGCACATTCTGAAGCGAGGGGACAGTGAGGCCATAGCCTACGCATTCTTTCACCTGCAGCACTGGAAGAGGGTGGAGGGGGCCCTTAACCTGCTCCACTGTACCTGGGAGGGCAGTGAGTAACACACAAACAACATCAGCTTTACCTTATATGCCATAACTTCATTGTTTACACATTTTGCCTTTACTCTGTAACACACACATGCACACATTTTGAGGGCAGTGAGTACAGCACACATTTTGAGGGCAGTGAGTACATCACACATTTTGAGGGCAGTGAGTACATCACACATTTTGAGGGCAGTGAGTACATCACACATTTTGAGGGCAGTGAGTACATCACACATTTTCAGGTTTTTCTAATGGTACTCCATTTTGATGCATAACTCTGCCACACTACTTAGCTCAACCTTTGTACCTGACTGTACCTATTCTGACTGCTGTGTCCTCTTTCCTTCCCAGCTTTTAGAATGATCCCCTACCCTCTGGAGAAAGGCCACCTCTTCTACCCATACCCCATCTGCACAGAGACCGCAGACAGAGAGCTGCTACCAAGTAAGAGACGCTCTGGATTCAACTGTGTGTGTGTGTACAGTGTGTTGGCTCTCTCTGTATTTCTCTCATGTGGAAGCAGTGTTTGTCACATGCTTGGTAAACAACAGGTGTAGACTAACAGTGAAATGCTTACTTACGGCCCTTCACAACAATGCAGAGTAAAAAAAAAGAGAAATAGTAGAAAGATTGAAACAAAATGAAAAATAATAACACAAGGAATTAATACACAATGAGTAACGATAACTTGGCTACAGTGCATTCAGAAAGTATTCAGACCCCTTCACTTTTTCCACATTTTGTTACGTTACAGCCTTATTCTAAAATGGATTGAATTGTTTTTTTCCTCTCATCAATCTACACACAATACCCCATAATGACAAAGCAAAAACAGGTTTTTAGAAATGTTTGCAAAGTTATAAAAAACAACAACTGATAAGACATTTACATAATTATTCAGACTCTTTACTCAGCACTTTGTTGAAGCACTTTTGGCAGCGATTACAGCCTCGAGTCTTCTTGGGAATGACGCTATAAGCTTGGCACACCTGTATTTGGGGAGTTTCTCCCATTCTTCTCTGCAGATCCTCTCAAGCTCTGTCAGGTTGGATGGGGAGCGTCGCTGCACAGCTATTTTCAGGTCTCTCCAGAGATGTTCAATCGGGTTGAAGTCCAGGCTCTGGCTGGGCCACTCAAGGACATTCAGAGACTTGTCCCGAAGCCACTCCTGTATTGTCTTGGCTGTGTGCTTAGGGTCGTTGTCCTGTTGGAAGGTGAACCTTCGCCCCAGTCTGAGGTCCTAAGCACTCTGGAGCAGGTTTTCATCAAGGATCTCTCTGTACTTTGCTTTGTTCATCTTTCCAATCCTGACTATTTTCCCAGTCCCTGCCGCTGAAAAAAATCCCCACAGCATGATGCTGCCACCACCATGCTTCACCGTAGGGATGGTGCCAGGTTTCCTCCACATGACGCTTGGCATTCAGGCCAAAGAGTTCAATATTGGTTTCATCAGACCAGAGAATCTTGTTTCTCATGGTCAGAGTCCTTTAGGTGCCTTTTGGCAAACCAAGCGGGCTGTCATGTGCCTTTTACTGAAGAGTGGCTTCTGTCTGGCCACTCTACCATAAAGGCCAAATTGGTGGAGTGCTGCAGAGATGTTTGTCCTTCTGGAAGGTTCTCCCATCTCCACAGAGGAACTCTGGAGCTCTGTCAGAGTGACCATCAGGTTCTTGGTCACCTCCCTGACCAAGGCCCTTCTCCCCCGATTGCTCAGTTTGGCCGGGCGGCCAGCTCTAGGAGGAGTCTTGGTGGTTCCAAACTTCTTCCATTTAAGAATGATGGAGGCCAATGTGTTCTTGGGGACCTTCAATGCTGAATACAATTTTTGTTACCCTTCCCCAGAGCTGTGCCTCGACATAATCCTGTCTCAGAGCTCTACGGACAATTCCTTCGACCTCATGGCTTGGTTTTTGCTCTGACATGCATGTCAACTGTGGGACCTTATATATACAGGTGTGTGCCTTTCCAAATCATGTCCAATCAATTGAATTACCACAGGTGGACTCCAATCAAGTTGTAAAAACATCTCAAGGATGATCAATGGAAACAGGATGCACCTGAGCTCAATTTCGAGTCTCATAGCAAAGGGTCTGTTTTTTATTTTTAATACATTTGCAAAAATGTCTATAAACCTGTTTTCGCTTTGTCATTATGGGGTATTGTGTGTAGATTGATGAGAAAAATAAATGATTTAATCCATTATAGAATAAGGCTGTAACGTAACAAAATGTGGAATAAGACAAGGGGTCTGAATACTTCCCGAATGCACTGTACACGGGGTACCAGTACTGAGTCGATGTTCAGGGTTACGAGATAATACTGTGTTTGTTTGTGTGTGTGTGTATATACAGTGTGTGTGAATAAAGTATGTACAGTGTGTTGATGCTCTCTATCTGTATCTCTCATGTGGAAGCAGTGTTTCATGAGGTGTCGGTATATCCTAAGAAGGAGCTGCCATTCTTCATCCTGTTCACGGCTGGTCTCTGCTCCTTCACCGCCATGCTGGCCCTGCTAACACACCAGTTCCCCGAGCTCATGGGAGTCTTCGCTAAAGCTGTGAGTCTCCTGCACTGGTCGCTTTCACACACGCACACAAACCAGTTCCCTTTCTAAGCCATGTCCCCATCCCCAATAAGGTTCTTTTCATTCAGATTCTTCATAAGGTGGCCATTCATTTTGTTGCGATCTGCCGAAATGTCCTCCTGTACAGTAGTTGTCATCGGGCCATTTTGGTTTAGACTGTAACAACCATAGATTTGCCTTTATCTGAAGTCTGGATGACCGGAGACTAGGCAAGCTCTATACAAGTTGATGCAAGATCCTATATCAATGCAAGTTCTTGTAGATCAGTGGTGATGCAGGGAAGGAAATACGGAAAGGAAGCAGCTTCAAACTATTGAATCCACCCCCTAGAACCTACACAGGCCCGCCCCTATCTGCCAGTGGAGGGCATTCTCCTCTACGTGATGTTCTTCCTCAGCAGGCCTGTGCTGTCTGATGTCACTCCCCTGGAATGTGCGTGAGCTCATCTCTGTGCTCTGTGCTCCTGGTGTGACTCTATCAGCAGCTACCATCTCCTCTGCAGGGGCTTGCTCTGCTCTGTTCTGGCCCTGCACAGTTTTAGTTGGGTGCTGCCTGCGGAGAGCTGATGACACACACACACTTTAAATGCTTTATTTGAATCCAAAAATCACATTACAGTCGAGAATGATTCAAACATTTCAAAGGTCACGGATATCTGGACACAGAAAGCACCTTCTCCATACAGCTAGGCTGCCCATGAGCGCTACTATGGCGCAGTACCTCGCTAGCTGCTTTGCCTTTGTCCTATGCAGGCCTGCAATCTGAAGGCCACGTACTGTCAGCCTCATAACCAAGGCTGTTTAGGCGTGATATAGTCTGGTATTTCAGCAACTTATCAGCAAAGGTATGGTCAGACACACACACGAAGACAAACTAATCAGCACCTGGTTTACCTGCTAGGGTAGAGGCACAGTTCCTCCCTTCCTTAAAGTAACTGATCTAATATGATTGAATGGATGAAAGCATGACTTGCCTTTCACCTATCGAATCATGTCAGATCAGTGGGTTTTCCCAAGGGAAGACGGAAGGAAGTAAAGGTGCATCTTCAAAGCATTGGACAGTGCCTCTCTCTCTCTTAGCGTGTAAACAAGGCGCTTGTTCCACCTTTCTCTATCTCTCTCTATCTCTCCCTGACAGCCTTTTATCTGCCATCAGACAAAGCCAAACCTCTATCACCCTCAATCCCTCTGAGGGAGCCCCTATCCCCCACACCGCATGTTGCCAAAACACATCAGAGAGGAGAGATCGAGGGGGGGGTGAACAGAAAGAGGGGGAGCAAAAGAACATCAGAGAAAGAGAGAGAGTGGAGAAGGATGAATGGGAAATGAATGGGGAGTTGACAGAGAGTCCACTACCACTCTTAGGGGTTAGAGCACAGTCAGTAGTCAACATACCTGGGAGACATGTTCCGGTTCTGCCCCATTGAGCACAGTACCTAAACTGGCATGCTATGGTACTCCTATCATGGTCCTCTAGCTAACATTTGAGGCCAACGACAACCCACAGTACCTACCTTGAAATGTGCAGAGCTTCAGTAGAGATGGCTACATTCTCAACTGGAACGTTATGGTGCTCCTATCATGGCCTCTCAAATGCTCACTAGAGGATCATCTACATACAGTACCTTGACATTTTCAGAAATAAATCTGGTTGCAATGGTTCCACTAGGAATTGGTATGGTGTGTGTGTGAGAGTTCATGTAATGTGTTCTAACATCCTCTCTCTCTGTCTATTTAGTTTCTTAGCACCCTGTTTGCTCCTCTGAACTTCATCATGGAGAAAGTGGAGAGCATCCTGCCATCCAGTCTGTGGCACCAGCTCACACGCATCTGATTGTGACCGGCCCAAACCGGCCCCAACTGGACTAGACTGAACCAGACTGACTGACACACCCTTTGTGCCAAAATCATGGATTAGACGGCCAGAGTGGATGGAATGGAATAGAAGAGAAAAGGGAAACATGGAATTCTGAATCGGTTTTGACTTTATTTGATATGTTACATTTTGTTTTTAAATCTCGAGTAAAACTGTTTTTTTTGTTGTACAAAAAAAGGTGATCAATTGCCATCATTAAAAAAGTGAAAAAAATACCAAAAGAAAAGAAAAGGACTGTGTATTGCTGCAACTTCTACTACGCCAATTTGATTTTGATTGTCAAGCATATCAAAACTGTAATAAATATTCCCGTGGGCCATGGAACATAGCTGGCGGTCAGGTGACTAAACCATGTCTTGTAACTGGCTGGTTGAGGACAGGGGTGTGTGGTCAGGTCTGCTATCAATTTCCAACAGTTTCCATAAACTATACACTAAACGTTCTTTTAAATTACATAAAGTTTGTATTTACATATACATTTTTTTTGAATACATTTCAGATAAACTTTTTTTTGGTACTCGAGAAAGAGTAAATAAATATAATGGAATGTGAGGGAAAAACAAAATGAGATTGTAAAAAGGTGTTCTTGGAATAGCCTACAGGGGGTGTCAAACCCTGATGCTTCTTAGTCAGGTGCAAGTCAGACTGATTTGGCGCTATGTCCAAAATGCACCCTATTCCCTATTTAGTGCACTACTTTTGATCAGGGCCTGCATAGGGCTCGGGGGCTCTGGTCAAAAGTAGTGCACTATAGAAAATGGGGTACCATTTCAGACCAACTATGTGCAAGCGATTGGTTGGTGGTATAGTGGTGCACTGTGGTCATGTCTGGGCCTTGCAGGTGTGCACGTCCACCTCTTGGCTGCAGTCCCGGCAGTGCACGGCGCAGCACCAGTGGAACTTGCACTCACACTTGGTGGTGCGGCTGACGCGTGTTGTATCGTAGCCCCGGCCGCAGCACATAACCTCGCAGCTGTCCACACCGCGAGACGTCCGGTTGCACACCCGCCCTCCCGTCCCCACCGAACCTGGCGAGGGAGAGAAATTAATAATCAACTCAAAATCAAATCCCCATCCAAATCAGAAGAGACACATTCAGGGTATGTACCTGTTCCACACTCGTATATATTCTGCCTGTATATTGAGTCAGTAATTCCTGAAGCTTTTTTACCTTGTGACCCACATACAATCCTTTTCAAATGTGCTTATAATATGCCAAATATACTAAATCTAATCTTTAGCCGCAATAGAGTGATTGTTGGCAAACAGCGGTCTAAGCCCCACTACCGTACATCACTCCAATAGAATACGGTGTACTCAATCTAAACTGGACAGAGACGGTGAGCGATGGATGGGGGAGGGGGAGAGAGAGAGTGAAGGATAAGAGGATGCACGGAGGCAGGATGGCAGAGAGATGAGAGATTGATGATAGGAGCCATCAGCTGGTGCTCAGGCTCTTCATCAGGTGTTCATTTTACACCCTGGCTGGCACACACTGTCTCACACACAGTCTCACTGTCTCACACACTGTCTCACACAGTCTCACTGTCTCACACACAGTCTCACTGTCTCACACACAGTCTCACTGTCTCACACACAGTCTCACTGTCTCACACACAGTCTCACTGTCTCACACACACAGTCTCACTGTCCTTCACACACAGTCTCACTGTCTCACACACAGTCTCAATGTCTCTCACACTGTCTCACACACAGTCTCACTGTCTCACACACTGTCTCACACACAGTCTCACACACTGTCTCACACACAGTCTCACTGTCTCACACACTGTCTCACACACAGTCTCACTGTCTCACACACTGTCTCACACACAGTCTCACACACACTGTCTCACACACAGTCTCACTGTCTCACACAGTCCAACAATCTGCATCTGTCTCACACATCCACTGTCCTCTACTGTCCACACTGTCTCACACAGTCTCACTGTCTCACACACAGTCTCAATGTCTCTCTCACTCTCTCACTGTCTCACACACTGTCTCACACACAGTCTCAATGTCTCTCACACTGTCTCATACACTCACTGTCTCACACACAGTCTCACTGTCTCACACACACTGTCTCACACACAGTCTCACTGTCTCACACTGTCTCACCACTCATGTCTCACACAGTCCACTGTCTCCACTGTCTCACACATCTCACTGTCTCACACACTGTCTCCACACTCCACTGTCTCCACTACACTGTCTCACACCACAGTTCACTGTCCAACTGTCTCACACTCACTCACTGTCTCACACACGTCCCACTGTCTCACACTCATTCACCACGTCTCACACACTGTCTCACACACAACTGTCTCACACACTCCCACTGTCTCACACACTGTCTCACACCAGTCTCACTGTCTCCACACACAGTCCTCACTGTCTCAACACTGTCCTCACACAGTCTCACTGTCTCACACCCACTGTCTCACACACGTCCTCACTGTCTCACACCACTGTCTCACACCACTCTACAACTGTCTCACACACACGTTCTCACTGTCTCACACACTGTCTCACACACAGTCTCACTGTCTCACACACTGTCTCACACACACTCTCACTGTCTCACACACATGTCTCTCACTGTCTACACCTCAGTCTCACACTGTCTCACTGTCTCACACACATCGTCTCAACACTGTCTCACCTCTCACTGTCTCACACACTGTCTCACACACATGTCTCACTTCCCAGTCTCCACTGTCTCACAACACTGTCTCACACACAGTCTCGTCTCACAAAACTGTCTCACATATACATCTCACTGTCTCAACAGCACTGATCTCACACACCTCTCACTTTCTCACATGTCTCACTGTCTCACAATCTACTGTCTCCACTTCCTCTCACCACCTCTCCTGTCTCACAAGTCTCACACGTACACTGTCCAAGAGTCTCACTAAACCACGTCTCACACACAGTCCACAATTCACACAACGTCTATCAACATCCACTGTCCTACCTCTCACACCATGTCCCTCTTCTCACAACCCTGTCTTTCCCATCCTTCTCATGCTCAGAACCCCTCCGACGTTCATATCTCAAACTACGGTCTATACAATATTTCGACATGCCTCCACTCACCCTCACTCACTCCTCAGTCCACTGTCCCCTACTCCTCCTCCTCTTTAAGTGAGGCAGCAAGAGTCTGAAGATCAGCTCACCATTTCATTACACTGACGTTTAAGTCATTGATTCCCCTCTCTGTTCTCTCTCTCTTCTTCCTTCTCTCTCCAAGTGAAACTGGATTCCTACAGTCTGTATTAGCAGTCAGTTCCCCGTATTTTGGCGCAGATGCAGCTGAATGAGTCACCTTTCAGATACCAGCTAAGCCTCCCTCTTGTACTGTGATTGGTGCAAAGAGACCGATGGTTAGAATCAGTTCAGACTGTCTCACACTCCATCCACACATCTACACCACACAATACACACCGTCTCACTAACACACAGTCTCACTGTCACACACATACACACACTCCTGCACCTCTTCTCAGAGTGAGGACACTGTGCAAGGGAGTCTGGCAGGCTTATTAGACTCCCAGAAATCATCCCATAATACAATTACACCATGAACGGTTAAATAAATAGTCAATATTGATCTTGAGGCCTCAACTCAAACCTCAATGGGGTGCATCTCAATAGTCTAAAGTAGCTTCCTTTCCTTATCTCCTCCTTCCTCTGCACTAAGGTGAAAACCCTGGACAGGTGAAGGTGAATGTCCTGACTTAAAGAGGCTAGCTAGGAGTCGATTTGGGATTGGGAACAGATCATGTCTGTTCTAGGCAGCATATTTATATGCCCCTCTATGCTCTCTTTCTCTCCCTCATCCCTCCCTCCCTCCCTCCCTCTGTCCATCCGTCTCCATCTGTTCCTCACTGCGGAGAGAGAGAGAGGTAGAAAAAGAGGGCGAGCAGCCAGGTATTGTCTGGGCACGACGAGACTCCGCCCCCTCCCGACAATGTGTCCGCCCCTCCGTCAGTCACGGTATGCTGCACAGCTAGGGTTGACATCAAGGACAGACTCCACCCCCCTTCTCTCTCTCCCTCTCGTTCTCTCCCTCTCTCTCCTTCCTCTCTCTCTCTCTCGCCTTCTCTCTCTCTCTCGATCTCTCTTCTCTCCTGGCGTCTGCTTATTGAATTAAGATGAGGGGGTGCCGAGAGATGAGTTTAGCACCTGAGCCTCCATGGGGCCGAGGGAAATTGATTTCACACTTTGGAGAGACACAGGGGGGTGCAGTCTCTACAGTATCTGTCTCCCAGCGCTGTGTGTGTGTGTGTGTGTGGATGTGTGTGTGTGTGTGTGTCGTCCAAGATGACTGGAGCCAATGTCTGTGGAGAGGAGGTTCTCACGAGAGGGGCCATGATCAGTGAGCTCACCATGCTTCCATGTATACAGCCCATAAAGGCCCTTCATGCACTGGAACTGTACTGTACAAATCAGTGTTCAAAAGAGGACTGTACTGTACGAAACAAACTCTTCAAAACAGGACTGTACTGTACGAAACAAACTCTTCAAAAGAGGACTGTACTGTACGAAACAAACTCTTCAAAAGAGGACTGTACTGTACGAAACAAACTCTTCAAAAGAGGACTGTACTGTACGAAACAAACTCTTCAAAAGAGGACTGTACTGTACGAAACAAACTCTTCAAAACAGGACTGTACTGTACGAAACAAACTCTTCAAAAGAGGACTGTACTGTACGAAACAAACTCTTCAAAAGAGGACTGTACTGTACGAAACAAACTCTTCAAAAGAGGACTGTACTGTACGAAACAAACTCTTCAAAAGAGGACTGTACTGTACGAAACAAACTCTTCAAAACAGGACTGTACTGTACGAAACAAACTCTTCAAAAGAGGACTGTACTGTACGAAACAAACTCTTCAAAAGAGGACTGTACTGTAAACTCAGCAAAAAAAGAAACGTCCCTTTTTCAGGACCCTGTCTTTCAAAGATAATTAGTAAAAATCCAAATAACTTCACAGATCTTCATTGTAAAGGGTTTAAACACTGTTTCCCATGCTTGTTCAATGAACCATAAACAATTAATGAACATGCACCTGTGGAACGGTCGTTAAGACATTAACAGCTTACAGACGGTAGGCAATTAAGGTCACAGTTATGAAAACTTAGGACACTAAAGAGGCCTTTCTACTGACTCTGAAAAACAACAAAATATATATGCCCAGGGTCCCTGCTCATCTGCGTGAACGTGCCGTAGGCATGCTGCAAGGAGGCATGAGGACTGCAGATGTAGCCAGGGCAATAAATTGCAATGTCCGTACTGTGAGACGCCTAAGACAGCGCTACAGGGAGACAGGACAGACAGCTGATCGTCCTCGCAGTGGCAGACCACATGTAACAACACCTGCACAGGATCGGTACATCTGAACATCACACCTGCGGGACAGGTACAGGATGGCAACAACAACTGCCCGAGTTACACCAGGAACGCACAATCCCTCCATCAGTGCGCAGACTGTCCGCAGTAGGCTGAGAGAGGCTGGACTGATGGCTTGTAGGCCTGTTGTAAGGCAGGTCCTCACCAGACATCACCGGCAACAACGTCGCCTATTGGCACAAACCCACTGTCGCTGGACCAGACAGGACTGGCAAAAAGTGCTCTTCACTAACGAGTCGTGGTTTTGTCTCACCAGGGGTGATGGTTGGATTCGCGTTTATCGTCGAAGGAATGAGCGTTACACCGAGGCCTGTACACTGGAGCGGGATCGATTTGGCAGTGGAGGGTCCGTCATGGTCTGGGGCAGTGTGTCACAGCATCATCGGACTGAGCTTGTTGTCATTGCAGGCAATCTCAATGCAGTGCGTTACAGGGAAGACATCCTCCTCCCTCATGTGGTACCCTTCCTGCCGGCTCATCCTGACATGACCCTCCAGCATGACAATGCCACCATCCATACTGCTCGTTCTGTACGTGATTTCCTGCAAGACAGGAATGTCAGTGTTCTGCCATGGCCAGCGAAGAGCCCGGATCTCAATCCCATTGAGCACGTCTGGGACCTGTTGGATCGGAGGGTGAGGGCTAGGGCCAGGGCCATTCCCCCCAGAAATGTCCGGTAACTTGCAGGTGCCTTGGTGGAAGAGTGGGGTAACATCTTACAGCAAGAACTGGCAAATCTGGTGCAGTCCATGAGGAGGAGATGCACTGCAGTACTTAATGCAGCTGGTGGCCACACCAGATACTGACTGTTACTTTTGATGTTGACCCCCCCCCCTTTGTTCAGGGACACATTATTCAATTTCTGTTAGTCACGTCTGTGGAACTTGTTCAGTTTATGTCTCAGTTGTTGAATCTTGTTATGTTCATACAAATGTTTACACATGTTAAGTTTGCTGAAAATAAACGCAGTTGACAGTGAGAGGACGTTTCTTTTTTTTATGAGTTTATATCACACAGTCCTCAAAACAGCGAAGAGACAAACTGTTCCATGAACAGGGTAGAGGTTTAGATAGCCTACTGTAATATGGAGTGCATCACAATAGTCTAAACCGGAGTCATATATACAGGTACACCACCCCGTTCACGAGTGAGTCACGTGGTTTGCTATACAAAGCAGGCAGACCGGCTTCGAGGCATTCAGTTACTGTTCGATTCTACGTTAGAATGGGCAAAACGAGTGACCTAAGCGACTTTGAGTGTGGTATGATCGTCGGTGCCAGATCCAGTATCTCATAAATGGCCGCCTTCCTGGGCTTTTTACACACCCCAGTGTCTAGGGTTTACAAAGAATGGTGCAGCAAACAAAAACATCCAGTCAGCAGCAGTCCTGTGGGCGAAAACAGCTCATTGATGAGAGAGGTTGAAGGAGAATGGAAAGAATCGTGCAAGCTAACAGGCGGGCCACAAACAGACAAATAACGGTGCAGTACAACAGTGGTGTGCAGAACGGCATCTCGGAACGGACAACTCGTCAATCCTTGTCACAGATGGGCAATTGCAGCAGACGTTCTACTCATATCAGCTAAAAAGTAGAAGAAACGGCTCCAGTGGGCACGCGATCACCAACACTGGACAATTGAGGAGTGGAAAAGAATCGCATGGTCTGACGAATCCCGGTTCGAGTTGCATCATGCTGATGGCAGAGTCAGGATTTGGCGTACGCAGCATGAGTCCAGCATGAGTCCATGGAGGTGGTGTACTGGTGTGGGGATGTTTTTCTGGCACACGTTAGGTCCCTTGATACCAATTGAACAACGATTGAACGCCACAGCGTATCTTAACATTTTTGCTGACCAGGTGCATCCATTCAGGCTGTTCTGGAGGTAAAGGGGGGTCCAAACAAGTACTAGATGAGTGTACCTAATAAACTGTCTGGGAGTGTATACTGTATAGCTCTTCCCTCCTTGTTTCCTTTTCTTCATGTTAAAGACCTCAGTGGTGGGTGTTCACCATATTGCCTTCACCTATCCTCAGTGGTGGGTGTTCACCATATTGCCTTCACCTATCCTCAGTGGTGGGTGTTCACCACATTGCCTTCACCTATCCTCAGTGGTGGGTGTTCACCATATTGCCTTCACCTATCCTCAGTGGTGGGTGTTCACCATATTGCCTTCACCTATCCTCAGTGGTGGGTGTTCACCACATTGCCTTCACCTATCCTCAGTGGTGGGTGTTCACCATATTGCCTTCACCTATCCTCAGTGGTGGGTGTTCACCACATTGCCTTCACCTATCCTCAGTGGTGGGTGTTCACCACATTGCCTTCACCTATCCTCAGTGGTGGGTGTTCACCATATTGCCTTCACCTATCCTCAGTGGTGGGTGTTCACCACATTGCCTTCACCTATCCTCAGTGGTGGGTGTTCACCATATTGCCTTCACCTATCCTCAGTGGTGGGTGTTATCTATATTGCTTTCACCTATCCTCAGTGGTGGGTGTTCACCACATTGTCTTCACATATCCTCAGTAATGGGTGTTCACCCCATTTCCTTCACCTATCCTCAGTGGTGGGTGTTCACCCCATTGCCTTGACCTATCCTCAGTGGTGGGTGTTCACCACATTGCCTTCACCTATCCTCAGTGATGGGTGTTCACCATCTTGCCTTCACCTATCATCAGTGGAGGGTGTTAACCATATTGCCATATTGCCCTATCCATATTGCCTTCACCTATCCTCAGTGGTGGGTGTTCACCACATTGCCTTCACCTATCCTCAGTGGTGGGTGTTCACTGTATTGCCACCTATCCTCAGTGGTGGGTGTTCACCATATTGCCTTCACCTACCCTCAGTGGTGGGTGTTCACCATATTGCATTCACCTATCCTCAGTGGTGGGTGTTCACCATCTTGCCTTCACCTATCATCAGTGGTGGGTGTTATCCATATTGCTTTCACCTATCCTCAGTGGTGGGTGTTATCCATATTGCCTTCACCTAAACTCAGTGGTGGGTGTTCACCACATTGCTTTCACCTATCCTCAGTGGTGGGTGTTCACCACATTGCCTTCACCTATCCTCAGTGGTGGGTGTTCACCCCATTGCCTTCACATATCCTCAGTGGTGGGTGTTGACCATATTGCCTTCACCTACCCTCAGTGGTGGGTGTTCACCGTATTGCCTTCACCTATCCTCAGTAGTGGGTGTTCACCATCTTGCCTTCACCTATCCTCAGTGGAGGGTGTTCACCATATTGCCCTATCCATATTGCCTTCACCTATCCTCAGTGGTGGGTGTTCACCCCATTGCCTTCACCTATCCTCAGTGGTGGGTGTTATCCATATTGCTTTCACCTATCCTCAGTGGTGGGTGTTATCCATATTGCTTTCACCTATCCTCAGTGGTGGGTGTTATCCATATTGCTTTCACCTATCCTCAGTGGTGGGTGTTATCCATATTTATTTCCCCTATCCTCAGTGGTGGGTGTTATCCATATTTATTTCCCCTATCCTCAGTGGTGGGTGTTATTCATATTGCTTTCATCTATCCTCAGTGGTGGGGGTTATCCATATTGCTTTCACCAAACCTGTGACTTTAAGTCAGCATAATGGAGAGGAGACTAAGAGAGGAAGCAACTTCAGAGAGGCCCCCCAGGTCTACATTAGGGGTGGTTAGCTTTTGATGTGGGTCAGAGGGGTTTGAGAGACACGACCTACCCTCCAAATATTCCTCAATTTTGGAGGTCCAAGCATGCAGAGGTGTAGGGGCCATCGCTGTGCCCAAGGGGTTGTGTGTGTGTGCTACAGCAGGGGTAATTTATAGTGGTGCGCGGCAGGTCGGGTTTCAGCCCACAGAAGTGTGTAATGGCCCTTAAACTGGCCGACACCCGATCACCTCGGATCATCTGCTGCCTGACAGGCACCCAGGTCCTTCAGATCACACACACATTGTTTTCACTCTCACACACACACACAAACACTATTTTCTTGCCGTCTCACAAACGCACCCACACATTTTCTCCCTCTCGCTCACACAAACACATTCTCTCTCTTTTGAACTCACACACTACATCTGGTTTTATTCAGTGCAGCATTAAGATAATAACCCTAACCCTAACCCTAACGTACAAGAGGCTGAGTGGTTACCCTCTGAAAATATGACCACATACTGAAGATGTTATGGACAAGTAGTACGATGGTCTACTCTACAGAGAGACAGTCATGTCAGATGTCAAACAGACAGACCGCATACATAGTTTACGTCAGTCATTGAGGACTGTGGAGTAAATCTGAACACTACAAACCGGTTCTCACCAGACTCTTGGTCTCTTATGCAGTAGTCTGGCGAGTCCTCGAAGTAGACCAGGTCGTTCTTGCTGGGCCGTTTGAAGTGTCGCTGTGCAGCGGTGAAGCCCGTGCCGTACTGGTTCATGGCCACCTGCACCGCCCCATTGTAGCGCCGCCGCAGGTGGTCACCCGTGCGGCGGAAGTCAGCCAGGGCCAGCCAGCAGGTCCGGACGCTACAGGAGCCGCTCACGCCATGACACTTACACTCCAGGGACATAAACCGCTTCACTGCCTGTGTGGTGATGAGGAAGGGGATGGAGGGAGACAGAAGGTTTGTTAGGGAGGCTAGGTGTGGTTGGTGGTTGTGTGTCAGGTTGCTGGTAGGGTGTGTATGTTGGTGTATGTGCACGTCTGTGTCTATGGAAGGAATCTACACCAGGTAATAGGCTATTGAATTCCTCTAAACAAGTGTATTCCAACCCTCTACTCTGGGATCACCAGCCCTGATTGGCACACCTGATTCCACTAGTCAATCTGTGCCAGTTCACGACTACAAATATGCAAACCAAATGTTTGGGAAAACACTGATCTAGATCAAATTGGTTCAGTTGGAGTCATTAAACTCCCCCATAATGTGTTTGAACTTTGAACCCACCTTTCTCCCAGCGCGGTTGTTGTGGAGGTTCATCAGGGCCCTGGCATCTTTCTCCTTTCTCTCCTTGGCGTCTATGAAGGACTGGCTGAACCTCATGGCGTGCTCCACATGGTCGCTGCAGCCGCCCCAGTCGAACGTCCCCTTGGCGTCCCGGGACGAGCCCTTCTTGGTGGGGTCACAGGAGCACGACTGCAGCTCTCCCTGGCTGCAAGCCCGGGTCAGCGTGTGGACCACCCCGGCCGAGGAGATGGCGTACACAAAGGCCGCTTCACGACTGCCTGGTAGGTATAGGGATGAAGAGGAAGACACACGTAAGCAAACACACACACTATGCACACACACACACTGGGAACAGTATACACACCAGACGCTATAAGTTACATGGACACACATATGAATAGGCTTACCTACAGGCTGTGACTAATGCACACAAGCTCATTGCACAAACATACACTGAGTATACCAAACATTAGGAACACCTTCCTAATAGTGTATAGCACCCCTTCTTATGCCCTCAAAACAACCTCAATTTGTCGGGGCATGGACTCTACAAGGTGTCGAAAGCGTTCGACAGGGATGCTAGCCCATGTTAACTCCAATGCTTCCCACAGTTGTGTCAAGTTGGCTGGATGTCCTTTGGGTGGTGGACCATTCTTGATACACATGGGAAACTGTTGAGCGTGAAAAACCCAACAGCATTGCAGTTCTTGACACAAACCGGTGTGCCTGGCACCTACTACCATACCCCGTTCAAAGGCACTTAAATATTTTATCTGGCCCATTCACCCTCTGAATGGCACACATACACAATCCATGTCTCAATTGTCTCAAGGCTTAAAAATCCTTCTTTAACCTGTCTCTTCTCCTTCAACTACACTGATTTTATGTGGATTTAACAACTGACATCAATAAGGGATCATAGCGTTCACCTGGATTAACCTGGTCATGGAAAGAGCAGTTCTTAATGTTTTGTATACTCACTGTATAAGTTACACAAATACACATATATACTGTAAATTGTATCTAGCCAGTATCCCATAAAGATGCATAACCACTACAGTGTGTGTACTGTACACAGTGAACATTAAGTAAAAATGTATTGCTCGAGGGGGAGGGGTCACAGTTTAAATAGGATCCTCTAAAAACCAAGAGCTAGCTATTGGTTGCTGCTGCTGTACCTGCATGGATACTGTTTGTTACTGCTTTCTTTCAAGTCTTTTATTTAAGGCATGGCAGTGTTCTGCTTTATCTAACTCCAAGATGGGCAAACAGGTCAAATTTACCAGCAATGCTCTGTGATAAAATACCCTTGTGAACTGACTGCTCTTCTAACTGATGAGAGATCTGTGGGATCAAAGACTATGGATAGCGAAGTGTGTGTGTGTGTGTGTGTGTGTGTGTGTGTGTGTGTGTGTGTGTGTGTGTGTGTGTTTGTCTGAGATCAGGAAACGGCAAACTTCAGTTCACAATGCTCTGTTTTTGATGTCAAGATGTTCTTTCGCTCTCTCTCTCTCTCTCACACACACACACACACACACACACTCATTGTGTGTGCGCGTGTGAATGACTGGGAATGTTTAATCTGGTTAATGAGGAGATAAACCAAAGGATGAGAACATGAAACCATCCAAAAAGAAAACCCAGTAATTGTTTTAAATTAGTGTCCTGACATTGACAATAAGTAGCTTCTCACGGTGCCACAGCGATAATGCTGCCAATCAGAGCAGCTTCCTAATGTTTTGTGACACAACCAGAGCTGAGTCTGGGAGGTCTGAATACCAAAGGGAGGATTAAAAAACCAAATTACACGCAACTCTCAGGGTCGGTTTCCTGGACACAGATTAAGCCTAGTCCAGGAGTAAAAATAAATACTTTCAGTGGTGAATCTCTATTGAACATTCTTTTTAGTCCAGGACTGGTCTTAATCTGTTTCCGGGAAACTGGCCCTTAAAGTTCCGCCTTGGAATAATTTAGGACCTATAGGAGCCGGAGGACTGGGACATGATGCCCAATAGAATTACCAATTGTATTTCTATGATCACCCCCAAGGTGGAGTGGATCCTCACATTTATACCAATTAAAAAGAGATTCCAAAGTTGAGAGAAGTACTTAGTAGGACTCATGTATTCATAGCTGGTGAGGTGACGAGATGGGAGTTGACATTTTCTTATTCTTGACTCCCCACATTTGTCAGCTGTGGCAGTTTTATAAGCATGCAGAGCATTGGACTTGATACCGATCAGAGCCAATAGTGTGTGATTGTGGCCCGCAATTCAGGGTGTTCCTGCATATGGGCATTCCTGCATCTGCAGGAACGCCCCCCCTCGAGCATCCAATTGGTTCCTGAGTGAACGTCCCCCCTCGAGCATCCAATTGGTTCCTGAGTGAACGTCCCCCCTCGAGCATGCCATTGGTTCCTGCATGAACGCCCTCCCTCGAGCACTCCATCTTCATGCTTATTTGACACTTTTGATATTCTGGATTTGCCTGATTGTCTATGCAATTAAAATGTGGGGGAAAATAAATAAAGTTTTTCGGGGTGAAGGACACTATCTACCGGTGTCCTAGCTAGCTACTGGTGTCGCCCCTGCATACCGCCTGCTGTGTACTGGAGTCCTACCTACCTAGCTAGTTGTTCTGTTAATGACGAACACCTGCCCTTGCCGTTGTTAACAGAACTGCAGGAAAGCAGTACCCGACAGGCGGGGGCGAAGGACACGGTCTACCGGTGTCCTAGCTAGCTAGCTACCTATCCGGCCTGCTGTGTACCGGAGTCCTAGCTAGCTAGCTAGCACACAGTGTCCTTCGCGCCCGCCTGCCGAACACCTGTCCTCGCCGTCGTTAACAGAACGGAGGACACTGTCTACCTAGCAGTTGTTGCCCCAGTCTCTTCTTCTTTTTCTGTGGGGTTTATCGGCGGTTGGCTTCCAACGTTATGGTGCAATACCGCCAACTACTGTACTGGAGCATCCCCGCCTCCCTCCTGTTTACTGGAGTCCTAGCTTAGAAAAATGGACCAACCAATAGAAGTATAAAGAGGGGTTCCTGCAGATGCAGGAATGCCCATATGCAGGAACACCCCGAATTGCGGGCCGCAATTACACCCTTCTCATCAGAGTAGCAGCAAGCAGGCACGTCAACTTGATAAATCTGGAACTGTAAAGTGAGACAATGCATGGAATGCAATGCAAGCACATGGGGAAAACATCTGTCAAGGAAGAACATGTATTTCACACTAATTCTTTCACTTTGATAAAGGCTAGAACTTTATAGGTTCACCACTGTTAATAATTGGTTGGGGAAAAAACGCATACCATATTTGCCATTGATCTAGGAGCCTATAGTCTATAGTAGATAGCCTATGGGAATTACTAGTCTATTGTTCAGACGTGCGTGTCTTATACATGAGGACAAAGATGAGTAGCCTATATATCACTTTCCCAGCACACAATAGAAAGAAAAATACAGCATATCAGCTATTTTACGCATGGTAATTTAATAGCTGCACTTTTTAGCTGAGCAATTTGTCTAATAACATGTTCATGCTCATATTTTAGTCTGAAAAATATTATATTTAGTTCATATAAAAAGCCTTAGGCCTACATCTGCACAGGATCAATTACACTGAACAAAAATATAAACGCAACATGTAAAGTGTTGGTACTATGTTTCATGAGCTGAAATAAAAGATCCCAGAAATGTTCCATACACACAAAAAGCTTATTTCTCTCAAATGTTGTGCACAAATTTGTTTACATTCCTGTTAGTGAGCATTTCTCCTTTGCCAAGATAATCCATCCACCTGACAGGTGTGGCATATCAACAAGCTCATTAAATAGCATGATCATTACACAGGTGCACATTGTGCTGGGTACAATAAAAGGCCACTCTAAAATGTGCAGTTTTGTCACACAACACAATGCCACAGATGTCTCAAGTTTTTAGGGAGCGTGCAATTGGCATGCTGACTGCAGGAATGTCCACCAGAGCTGGTGCCAGATAATTTAAAGTTAATTTCTCCATCGTTTTAGAGCGTCCAACTGGCCTCACAACCGCAGACCACGTGTATGGCGTCGTGTGGGCGAGCAGTTTGCTGATGTCAACGTTGTGAACAGAGTGCCCCATGGTGGCTGTGGGGTTATGGTATGAGCAGGCATAAGCTATGGACAACGAACACAATTGCATTTTATCGATGGCAATTTGAATGCATAACAATACTGTGAAGAGATCCTGAGGCCCATTTTTTTAAGGTATCTGTGACCAACAGATGTATATCTGTATTCCCAGTCATGTGTAATCCATAGGGCCTACTGAATTTATTTCAATTGACTGATTTCCTCATATGAACTGTAACTCAGTAAAATCTTTGAAATGGTTGCTTGTTGCGTTTATATTTTTGTTCAGAATAAATAAATAAATGTATTTAATTAAATATGAAATTACATATTTTTACAGTAGGCATACATATACGTTTTTTTTTTTTCTTTCTCTCAATACTTACTACGCAGCAGTAGGCGTCCGAACAAGTTGTGGTCTCGCGCCATGGTATTGCAGTTCCAGCGGTGGTTCTGAAACTGATGTTGGCACTCCCCGATCCAGTCTTTAATCCCGGCTCCAATCGCCTGCATAACATTGGGATGCTGGCGGCACAGCTGCCGCTGTTTGTTGACTAACCCGGGGATGTTGTCGCACATCACTTGCGACCCGAGGGTACCCATGTACCTGCATAGAAAGATGAAAGAGGTTTTGGCTTTGACCATGCAACTTTAATCTGTTTGAATGTCCTTGTGGGCTATGATGTTTATATATATATATATATATATATATATATATATATATATATATATATATATATATATATTAAAAACGAGACTTCTAGAACAATCTAATAAAGGAATAAAAAATAATCTGCCCCATAATATGTCCAAATTAAAGAAACATTCATGTCTAGTGTTATGGGGGATACATTCGATTATTTGACACATAAACATATTTTATTGGAAATCCTTATAGTTTAATTCAAATTAAAACAATCGTTTACACAGATCATAGCCTATGTGTCCAAAAGTCACATGCATTGTCTCACGCAGTCCTTGCCAATAGCGTATACTATAACGTTTAGACTCCATTGTGTATATTTAATGTTCCTATAGCCTATAATCACTGATTAATATTTAATATATTTCCTACTAACTTTACACTTGCATTAGCCGTTAGTGGTATTTTCACATTTTTGAGAGCCTACTCACCACCAAGATCCGTCGACCCTTGACGTTAGCCAGCAGACTGCTACAGATAAATAAAAACATATTCCACTTGGCAATAAGTTCATATTATTAAAATGTTGTCGGTGTGCACATTCAGGCACCTGTACTGAGCATTTCCATGGGTAGAAAAAAACACTGGCGCGCGTCAGACAGGAGTCTACGGCTTCTCGATTGCGCCAATCAAAGTTCGGCTCTGTTTTGCATTAAAAATCGATAATCAGAAGAGGTTTACAACCCGGATGAAGCTTTGTGCGTAAAAAACAGAACCAACACTTAGCTATGACAATGAGAATGGTAAAGAAGCACATGAAATATTGAGTCGAATAAAGTTAACAAAGATTTGCAGTGTAAAGATAGGCAAATGATCGTCTGCTATCAGGTTTAAATTGCTTACACAAGGGGTGGGCGCAGTCCTGTCTCAGGAATGAGGTGAAGAAATTAGATGTCTGAAAGTATCTGTTCAGGCTAGCTTGACACCAGACACAAGCTTGGCCGATTTCCAAGCGGCAAGATGTAGAATGTGGTACAACGTGATGCGTTAAACCCTGAGTGTTTTAACAAAAACAATCAAATTTACGTGTTTGGGAGGAACTGGTGCGTCGCAAACGCGTTTAGTAATGGTTATGGCTATAACGCCCAAATTCCAAATATTCCAGAAACTCACAGCCATAACGCTATATTGTGCACACAGATTAAATATTAGATGTGGAGATAGGCCCTTGATTAATATTAGGCATATTCGTAGACGTTAAATGCACAGATTCCTTAAAGGCCGGCCCAAAAGGTGATGTGTGCATTTAAAATGGGATTATCACATTCTTTTGAACTCTCTTCTCAATCTGTACGATTGTCACGTTGTATTTACTTTATCTTTGATCTCTGCTTTATGTAAGCGATTTAATGTTCCCATCTCGTCTTTGTATTGGGAGGTCTGATCTTCTGATGGGATGAGATTAATGCTCAAATTGGAGTCTCTCTTATGATCTTCGTGGAAGACGGGGGGAAAATTCATAAAACCAATATGCCACCAGTATTATGAAGAAACTTTAAGGCTTCATTGCTTGCATTTTCAGTCCATTAAACACCACGCTGTCTGGTGCAAGTATAGGCTAGTCCTACAGATTGCAGTGAAAGGATGATCAAATTAATTGCGTCACATGATATTCGATGCATTATGTTTGAGGCATTATAAACATGTAATAATGAATAATACTAATTATAAACCCTTAATATGGATGATATGTCTTGAAGCTGTTTAGTTTATTAATTGTTAAATGTTCAGTATATAAATTATCCACAAATTATCGTTCAATATCTTTTATAATGTTTAAGAATATAAACTATTTGGAGAGACAAAATATTAATCATAGTAATCTTTCAATGAAGCGTATGAACCCTTAATATAATATAAAAAACCTGTTAGAAAATCTAAATATAATTTAAACAGAAAATCTCTACTAAAAAGTATCTTCAAGAAAAAATTAAATATTTCCCAAAGACAAACAATATTTACTTTATAAACATTTAAATATAGTATGCACCATTGACTGCATCCTGACGGGCTGTATCACTGCCTGGTAGGGCAACTGCAGTGCCCGCAACCACAGGGCTCTCCAGAGGGTGGTGCGGTCTGCTCAATGCATCACCTGGGGCACACTGCCTGCCTTCCAGGACACCTACAGCACCCTATGTCACAGGAAGGCCAAAAATATCGTTAAGGACATCAACCACCCGAGCCACTGCCTGTTCACCCTGCTATCATCCAGAAGGCGAGGTCATTACAGGTGCATTTATTTATTTATTTATTTCACCTTTATTTAACCAGGTAAGCCAGTTGAGAACAAGTTCTCATTTACAACTGCGACCTGGCCAAGATAAAGCAAAGCAGTGCGATAAAAACAACAACACAGAGTTACATATGGGGTAAAAAAAAACATAAGGTCATAAAATACAACAGAAAATATATATACAGTGTGTGCAAATGTAGCAAGTTATGGAGGTAAGGCAATAAATAGGCTATAGTGCAAAATAATTACAATTAGTATTAACACTGGAATGCTAGATGTGCAAGAGATTATGTGCAAATAGAGATACTGCATCAAAGCTGGGACGGAGAGACTGAAAAACAGCTTCTATCTAAAGGCCATCAGACTGTTAACCTCTTAAGGATCGGACCCTTTTTTTCAATTTTCGCCTAAAATGACATACCCAAATCTAACTGCCTGTAGCTCAGGACCTGAAGCAAGGATATGCATATTCTTGATACCATTTGAAAGGAAACACTTTGAAGTTTGTGGAAATGTGAAATTAATGTAGGAGAATATAACACATTAGATCTGGTAAAAGATAATACACACAAAGAAACATGTGTTTTCTATTTTATTTTTTTTTATCATCTTTGAAATGCAAGAGAAAGGCCACAATATAATATTGCAGTTTAGACGCAATTTAGATTTTGGCCACTAGATGGCAGCAGTGTGTGTGCAAAGTTTAAGATTGATCCAGTGAAGCACTGCAATACTGGACTATTTTGTATCAAGTCTGCCCAACAGGGGCGGTGTGTTCAATAGGGCGATATGGGCGACGCACTGCCAAACGGGAAAAGGAAGGGATTTTTTTCCTAATCAATTATATCACGGCAACAGTAGTTATCAGTGTTCTAATCTGATCTGACTGCCACTAAATGTCCAATCAGGCTAAAGTCGTGCTTCAAATGGCCCCCCCCCCTTTTGGGGCGATTTCAGTCAGGTTGAAAATCGCCCAGAAGTCTGTCATAGACTCCCATGTAAAATCTATTTTTTTCAAATTTCAGAGCTTTCAATACAATCTCTATGGGTTTCTGAGGGCTTGCACTTACGCGCTTTCGTCATACGTAACGTAACCATGAACGTAACTAAGAAAATAGCGGGTAGCAGCGTCTCTGTTGCGACCTGCAGTGTGGCGTTATCTTATGTTTTTAATTTGTACACTTAGTGGCGTTATTTTATGTTTTTAATTTGTACACTTAGTTTACAAACATTCTGCCAACCATGGATTTCCAGTGGTGGGTTTTGGACTGATCTTGTTGATCGTGTACATACCCGCTACGAACGGACTAAATAATGAAAACGCTGCTGGCAGCGGAATCCAATACAGCAGAACAAACTTCCCTTACCCACCACCTTGCTGATTAATGCCCAGTCACTGAGGGGGAAAGCGGATGAGTTGTCAGCGAATCTGCGCTTCCAACACGAATATCGGGAGGCCTGTTTGCTGGCATTTACTGAGACTTGGCTGGATGACAGAGTCCCGGACAGAGAAGTGGAGCCGGCCGGCTTCACCCTGGTCAGAGCGGACCGCGATCTGACAGTCACAGGGAAAATCGATCCTGGTAAGAGAGCGACTCTGTACCCCCGACATTGAACTGCTTTCTGTGTCACTGCGACCTTACTATCTGCCCCGTGAGTTCCCCCAATTGTTTGTTACCGTTGTGTACATTCAACCAAAAGCTAATATAACAAAGGCATCAGAGATTATTTATAATCTGTCACAGAAACTGGAATCCATCTCCCCAGATCAGTCAATAAATGCTTCTGGTATTGACTTATATGCTGCCCCTGTCTTCATGTTGTTGCTGGACATATCTTTTTTAAAAATGTGTGTAGGTCACCTAAATCATCAGAAAAATTGCCCCCCCTGAGAATTTTTTCAGGAGCCGCCACTGCTGCCCAAATGTGCCAAATTGGTCAATTGATACATTTTCAAGTACATAACTATAGAGATGATACAAAAATGATATGGTAATACAAAATGTAAGTTTACACACACCAGGAATGTCATACATGATGGATCATTAGCTTATACACTAACTTTCACACATCTAGATGGCCGGGCGGGGTGGGTGTGGAGCCAGACAGCAGGGGTTCAAACTGTAGAACCCAGTTCCTACATTTGAATATAAAAATTGATTTTATCAAACAAAACTAAGCTACATTTTATCTCTGGGACCCTTAGGATGACAAATCTGAGCAAAATTACTGAATGTAAGTACATTATTTACCTTCAGAGGTGAATGTATAAAACCTGTTGCAGGGATACATTTTTTTGTTGTTGTGCTCTCTCCTCAAACAATAGCATGGTATTTTTTCACTGTAATTGCTACTGTAAATCGGACAGTGCGGTTAGATTAACAAGAATTTAAGCTTTCTGGCCATATAAGACATGTCAATGTCCTGGAAAGTTTGCTGTTACTTACAACAGTCATGTTAATCACATTAACGCACGTTAGCTCAACCGTCCCGTAGACGGGAAACCGATCCCGTAGAGGTTAAATAGCCATCACTAGCCGACCTCCACCCAGTACCCTGCCTTGAATTTAGTCACTAGCCAGCTACCACCCGGTTACTCAACCCTGCACCTTAGAGGCTGCTGCCCTATGTGTAGATTAATGAGGAAAGTATTCAGACCCCTTGACTTTTTCCACATTTTGTTACCTTACAGCCTTATTCTAAACTGGATTTTTTTATTCCGGATCGATTTACACACAATACCCCATAATGACAAAGCAAAAACAGGTTTTTAGATGTTTTTGCATAAATATCACATTTACATAAGCATTCAGACCCTTTACTCAGTACTTTGTTTAAGCACCTTTGGCAGTGATTACAGCCTCGGGTCTTCTTGGGTATGAAGCTTGGCACACCTGTATTTGGGGAGTTTCTCCCATTCTTCTCTGCAGATCCTCTCAAGCTCTGTCAGGTTGGATGGGAAGCGTCGCTAGACAGCTATTTTCAGGTCTCTCCAGAGATGTTTGATCGGGTTCAAGACCAGGCTCTGGCTGGGCCACTCAAGGACATTCAGAGACTTGTCCCGAAGCCACTCCTGCATTGTCTTGGCTGTGTGCTTAGGGTCGTTGTCCTGTTGGAAGGTGAACCTTCGTCCCAGTCTGAGGTCCTGAGCGCTCTGGAGCAGGTTTTCATCAAGGATCTCGCTGTACTTTGCGCCGTTCATCTTTCCCTTGATCCTGACTGGTCTCCTAGTCCCTGCCGCTGAAAAACATCCCCACAGCATGATGCTGCCACCACCATGCTTCACCGTAGGGATGGTGCCAGGTTTCCTCCAGACGTGACACTTGGCATTCAGGCCAAAGACTTCAATCTTGGATTCATCAGACCAGATAATCTTGTTTCTCATTGTCTGAGAGTCCTATAGGTGCCTTTTGGCAAACTCCAAGTCAGCTGTCATGTGCCTTTTACTGAGGAGTGGCTTCCATCTGGCCACTCTACCATGAAGGCCTAATTGGTGGAGTGCTGCAGAGATGGTTGTACTTCTGGAAGGTTCTCCCATCTCCACAGAGGAACTCTGGAGCTCTGTCAGTGTCCATCTGGTTCTTGGTCACCTCACTGACCAAGGCCCTTCTCCCACGATTGCTCAGTTTGGCTGGGCGGAGCTCTAGGAAGAGTCTTGGTGGTTCCAAAATTCTTCCATTTAAGAATGATGGAGGCCACTGTGTTCTTGGGGACCTTCAATGCTGCAGAAATGTTTTGGTACCTTTCCCCAGATCTGTGCCTCGACTCAATGCTGTCTCTGAGCTCTACGGACATTTCCTTCGACCTCATGGCTTGGTTTTTGCTCTGACATGCACTGTCAACAGTGGGACCTTATATAGACAGGTGTGTGCCTTTCCAAATCATGTCCAATCAATTGAATTTACCATTCAAGTTGTAGACACATCTCAAGGATGATCAATGGAAACAGGATGCACCTGAGCTATTCTTTATACATTTGCAAAAATTTCTAAAAACCTGTTTTTGCTTTGTCATTATGGGGTATTGTGTGTAGATTAATGAGGACAATTTTTATTGAATCCATTTTAGAATAAGGCTGTAACAACAAAATATGGAAAAAGTGAAGGGGTCTGAATACTTTCCGAATGCACTGTACGTAGACATGGAATCACTGGTCACTTTAATTAATGTTTACATACTGTTTTACTCATTTCATAATTATATACTGTATTCTAAGTCAATGCCATCCTATTAAACTATTGCTGTATATACAGTTGAAGTCGGAAGTTTACATACACCTAAGCCAAATACATTTCAACTCAGTTTTTCACAATTCCTGACATTTAATCCTAGTAAAAAATCCCTGTCTTAGGTCAGTTAGGATCACCACTTTATTTTAAGAATGTTAAATGTCAGAATAATAGTAGAGAGAATGATTTATTTAAGCTTTTATTTATTTCATCACGTTTACATACACTCAATTAGTATTTGGTAGCATTGCCTTTAAATTGTTTAACTTGGGTCAAACGTTTCGGGTAGCCTTCCACAAGCTTCCCACAATAAGTTGGGTGAATTTTGGCCCATTCCTCCTGACAGAGCTGGTGTATCTGAGTCAGGTTTGTAGGCCTCCTTGCTCGAACACGCTTTTTCAGTTCTGCCCACACATTTTTTTGTGATGGCCACTCCAATACCTTGACTTTGTCATCCTTAAGCCATTTTTCCACAACTTTGGAAGTATGCTTGGGGTCATTGTCCATTTGGAAGACCCATTTGCGACCAAGCTTTAACTTCCTGACTGATGTCTTGAGATGTTGCTTCAATATATCCACATCATTTTCCTTCCTCATGATGCCATCTATTTTGTGAAGTGCACCAGTCCTTCCTGCAGCAAAGCACCCGCACAGCATGATGCTGCCACCCCCGTGCTTCACGGTTGGGATGGTGTTCTTCGGCTTGCAAGCCACCCCCTTTTTCCTCCAAACATAACGATGGTCATTATGGCCAAACAGTTCTATTTTTGTTTAATCAGACCAGAGGACATTTCTCCAAAAAGTACGATCTTTGTCCCCATGTGCAGTTGCAAACCGTAGTCTTGTCTTTTTTAATGGCGGTTTTGGAGCAGTGGCTTCTTCCTTGCTGAGCGGCCTTTCAGGTTATGTCGATATAGGACTCGTTTTACTGTGGATATAGATACTTTTGTACCTGTTTCCTCCAGCATATTCACAAGGTCCTTTGCTGTTGTTCTGGGATTGATTTGCACTTTTCGCACCAAAGTACGTTCATCTCTAGGAGACAGAACGCGTCTCCTTCCTGAGCGGTATGACGGCTGCGTGGTCCCATGGTGTTTATACTTGCGTACTATTGTTTGCACAGATGAACGTGGTACCTTCAGGCGTTTGGAAATTGCTCCCAAGGATGAACCAGATAGCATTTTTCTTCTGAGGTCTTGGCTGATTTCTTTTGATTTTCCCATGATGTCAAGCAAAGAGGCACTGAATCTGAAGGTAGGCCTTGAAATACATCCACAGGCACACAGCAGAAGCTTCTAAAGCCATGACATCATTTTCTGGAATTTTCCAAGCTGTTTAAAGGCACAGTCAACTTATTGTATGTAAACTTCTGACCCACTGGAATTGTGATACAGTGAATTATAAATTAAATAATTTGTCTGTAAACAATTGTTGGAAAAAGTACTTGTGTCATGCACAAAGTAGATGTCCTAACCGACTTGCCAAAACTATAGTTTGTTAACAAGAAATGTGTGGAGTGGTTGAAAAACAAGTTTTAATGACTCCAACCTAAGTGAATGTAAACTTCTGACTTCAACTGTATACTATTCTATCCTATGTACTCTACAGATATACTAAATATTCTATCCACACACTGTCCATGTTTATACATTCCATCCCATCCATCCATCCACTGAACAAAAATAAACGCAACATGCAACAATTTCAAAGATTTTACTGTTACAGTTCATATGAGGAAATCAGTCAATTGAAATAAATTCATTAGTACCTAAAATGCAATTGTGTTCGTTGTACATAGCTTATGCATGCCCATACCATAACCCCACCATGAGGCACTCTGTTCACAACGTTGACATCAGCAAACCACTCGCCCACACAACGCCATACACGTGGTCTGCGGTTTTGAGGCCGGTTGGACGTACTGCCACATTCTCGAAAACCACGTAGAGAAACTAAATTCTCTGGCAACAGTTCTGGTGGACATTCCTGCAGTCAGCATGCCAATTGCAAGCTCCCTCAAAACTTGACACATCTGTGGCATTGTTTTGTGTGACAAAACTGCACATTTTAGAGCTGCTTTATATTGTCCCCAGCACAAGGTGCACCTGTGTAATGATCATGCTGTTTAATCAGCTTGTTGATATGCCACACTTGTCAGGTGGAGGGATTATCTTGGCAAAGGAGAAATGCTCACTAACAGGAATCTAAACAATTTGTGCACAATTTGAGAGAAATAAGCTTTTTGTGCGTATGGAACATTTCTGGGATCTTTTATTTCAGCTCATGAAACATGGAACCAACACTTTACATGTTGCGTTTATATTTTTGTTCAGTGTAATTGATCCTGTGCAGATGTAGGCCTAAGGCTTTTTATATGAACTAAATATCATATTTTTGTTGCGTTTATATTTTTGTTCAGTGTACACACATACATACTCCGGACATTGCTTGTCCTAATATTTATATATTTCTTTATTCCATTCTTTTACTTTTAGATTTGTGTGGATTGTTAGATATTATTCCACAGTTGGAGCTAGGAACACAAGTATTTTGCTACACCTGCAATAACATTAGCTAAATATGTGTATTCGACCAATAAAATGTGATTAGATTTTTAGTAGCCTAAATAGTTTTAGTCATATAGTCAACTACATAAAGTATTGAATAATATGTAGGGGATGGATTTCACTAACTTGTGCAGCAACTTAATGCAGAAAAATGCTGGATAAAGAAATATTTTTTATTTTACAAAAGCCCACAAAATTGCTTAAAACAATTTAAGAACTCAATAATAAAAAATAAAAAAAGTATAACAAATATAAGGAACCTCAATCAAAAACTAAACTTTTTTCCATTTGAGATATTCTCATTCGGCATAATTCCTCAAACAGAAATGTAAATTAAGACAATTAAGCTAATTGATTGATAACCTATGACATAATTGATCCAAAGTAAGAGTAAATTGGATAATGATGGAGCTGTCAGTCTAAAGGTAAACCTTGACAATCTTGGCTCTGGACAGGGCAAACAGCAGGCCTGCTCCAAGCATGCCCAGTGCGAGCCTCTTCAGGACCCGTCTCCTCCAGTCGCCGTGGAAACCAGGTCGAGGAAGTGGGCAGAAATCTCCAGCTGGGTCCATCTTAGGAAGAGGAGCAGCAGAACGTCACAAGGTAAGGGGTGAGAAAGAGCAGGGTGGACACACAAACTACAGACACACACAGTCGCACACACACACACCATGGCCGTGTCCGAATACCCATACTAGCGAAAAAAAGTGTTATAGTATGTGACATTTTGAAAATATTTCTCTGATTATCATGGGGGGGCATTCGGTCTGCAACAAGGTCCAGAGGGCCGCACAGAATTTTTATTATATTTCCTTGTCCTCAAGATTGGCTAAAAATAGTCCTCTATCCATCGTTTTTGGGGAAATGTTCGATGCTCCCTGGCTGTCTAGCTTTCATTTCGGTGATTATTAACGAGCTGGACACAGTCAAGAAACTGTATGAATGTAAGTCATTTTACATTTACATTTTAGTCATTTAGCAGACGCTCTTATCCAGAGCGACTTACATCAGCAATTAGGGTTAAGTGCCTTGCTTAAGGGCACATCGACAGATTTTTCACCTAGTCGGCTCGGGGATTAGAACCAGCGACCTTTCGGTTACTGGCACAACGCTCTTACCCACTAAGCTACCTGCCGCCCATTATAATCTCTACACATTTTCGATTTAGTTTTAGTCATTGAGTTTGTTTCCCCCCCTCGGATTGGACACCGTCGGATTGGACCCCCGGGCCTATGTTAGACACCCCTGCCCTACAAGAACCTACTGTCTGGAGACTAGATGGTAGCCATCAGCAGTGTTTTGTCATGTGACAACCCTTCACACACTGTTGTGTCCTATAATTCTGTCAATTTATTAGGAATAAATAAAACAACTTTTTGATCTGGATGAGGTGATCTGCTTCAGCAAGCAAATTAGAGTTTGAATAAGAGAACCACTCTGCACAGTGTACCACCTACTGCACCTGAGAGGTAGATATGGCACATATCTACCATTCTACACAGTAATGTCCAACCCAAGGAAGCATTCATGCTTTTCCCACCATCTCCAATCTATCTGGCCGGGCAGATAGATTGTGTGTGTGTGTGTGTGCACCCGCGCTCTGTGTGTGTAGGGGGATGGGTGTGAAGACGAGCCCCCACAGATAAGATAAACGGGTGCAAGGGCCTTCCCCCTGGGCCCTGAGCCAGTGTTTCCAAATGGCCACCGTTGGTTGTCGGATTCCTGTCTGACACCGCCAGCGTCTGGGGCTACCCCCCTCCTTCCTCACCCTAACCCCACCCCCACTCTGACAGAACACTGTCACACTGTCTTTGAGTTATAGGCTGTGAGGACTCGCCCTGTCAGAATCCTACACACAGCGCGCACACACACACACACACCACAGTGTAAAGGCTGGATGAGCAATGGAGAGGATGAGAAGGGGAGTTGACCCGAGTTTGAAGGAAGTGTGGACTTGGCCCAGACCTGGGAAGAGATGGTTAGGGCAGTGAAAGGGTCTGGAGGACCAGACCTGGGAAGAGATGGTTAGGGCAGTGAAAGGGTGTGGAGGACCAGACCTGGGAAGAGACGGTTAGGGCAGTGAAAGGTTGTGGAGGACCAGACCTGGGAAGAGACGGTTAGGGCAGTGAAAGGTTGTGGAGGACCAGACCTGGGAAGAGATGGTTAGGGCAGTGAAAGGGTGTGGAGGACCAGACCTGGGAAGAGACGGTTAGGGCAGTGAAAGGGTGTGGAGGACCAGACCTGGGAAGAGATGGTTAGGGCAGTGAAAGGTTGTGGAGGACCAGACCTGGGAAGAGACGGTTAGGGCAGTGAAAGGGTGTGGAGGACCAGACCTGGGAAGAGACGGTTAGGGCAGTGAAAGGGTGTGGAGGACCAGACCTGGGAAGAGACGGTTAGGGCAGTGAAAGGGTGTGGAGGACCAGACCTGGGAAGAGATGGTTAGGGCAGTGAAAGGGTGTGGAGGACCAGACCTGGGAAGAGACGGTTAGGGCAGTGAAAAGGTCTGGAGGACCAGACAGAGAGAGATGGTTAGGGCAGTGAAAGGGTGTGGAGGACCAGACCTGGGAAGAGACGGTTAGGGCAGTGAAAGGTTGTGGAGGACCAGACCTGGGAAGAGACGGTTAGGGCAGTGAAAGGGTGTGGAGGACCAGACCTGGGAAGAGACGGTTAGGGCAGTGAAAGGGTGTGGAGGACCAGACCTGGGAAGAGATGGTTAGGGCAGTGAAAGGTTGTGGAGGACCAGACCTGGGAAGAGACGGTTAGGGCAGTGAAAGGGTGTGGAGGACCAGACCTGGGAAGAGACGGTTAGGGCAGTGAAAGGGTGTGGAGGACCAGACCTGGGAAGAGACGGTTAGGGAGTGAAAGGGTGTGGAGGACCAGACCTGGGAAGAGACGGTTAGGGCAGTGAAAGGTTGTGGAGGACCAGACCTGGGAAGAGACGGTTAGGGCAGTGAAATGGTGTGGAGGACCAGACAGAGGAAACAGACCGTTCTCCCATTCGTTCTCTCAGAGTGACCCACTGAGTGGAGCAGAAACATAGTGGTGGGGGCACTTGTGTGACAGTGACACGCATGCACACAGCAGTCAGAGAGAAAGGTGTGAGATGTACCTTGTGCAGCAGGTTCCTGAGGCAGGTGACCTCTTTCTGCAGGTCTCCAGTCTGGGCCACCAGCTCATTACAGATGGCCTGTGCTTCCTTCTTAGGGTCCAGGGACAACACCAGCTGAGGAGAGGACAGAGAGAGTGAGTTAGGGGAGCTAGGGACAGGTCCGATCTAGAAAAAACCATCAGTACTATAGTGTCTGACTGAAAACTCACTCACTTAATCTAACCACAAACATGAGGGGGGGGGGGGGGGGCAGCACACTCCTTTCAGTGCTGAAAGGGAATTAGTAGGTTATACAACCATACCGTCTGCTTTCAGTCAGACACAACAGCATTGATGGATCAGTCGCCAGTCCTTAAGATGATCAGAGAGGGACAGGGAATGACACACACACCTCAGAGGCTCGGCGGGGGAAGCGGCTGATGACGTCCTGTACCGTCTCTGTCAGGTAGCAGCACTGCTGCCTCAGACTGATCAGGAAGTTATACAGCTCCTCACTTCTATAAGGACACACATACACCATTAGACAACTTTTCACAGTACTTCCCACTAACTATCAGTGTTGATGATAGGGGGCATTTCAAATTATTTTACTATTCAAATAATGACATTTTTTCGGATATCTGGATAGTCAACCAATCAGAATGACGCAAATGTACATGGCAGAGGTAAACAGCAGACAGGGAGGGTGCTTTTCTTCAGTAATTTGTCAGCAACAGCGAAGGAAAAGTCAGATTTTCGCTATGATAATCAGTTCTATGTTACAAATAGCTTTTCTGCTGAGTGTTTTGCATTGATCCGTTTCAGGTCTTGTGGAAACGCCATTAGCTGAGCGCCTGTAATTGCTATTTGAAGAGGGGGAAACAGCATACCGATGTCAGGGAAGCCTGGAGGGCAGTAGCTCAATGCACTGTTATAAAAACTACATTCAAAAGTTTGTTGCTTTACTAAATTAAGAATTTCAAATGTCATGATATATCCTTGTAGGTAAAAATGTCACAAGGATCATTTAATTTAGACATAGCTTTTCATTGTTAAAATAGGCCAAAATAAGTTTGCTCAAAATATGAACTCTCCCTCAAGTAATCGAATACTAACGTTCGTTCAGACGTCCGGATATCGATTAACCGTGACCATCCCTAGTTGATGAGTCTCTTTCCACCTCAACCCAAGTGTGTTTATGTGTGACTGTCAGTGTGAGTGGGTGAGCAGCACAACCTGTGTCAGTCTGCATTCCTGCCCATCTCAAGTATACCCCCTATACGTCTCACCTAGACAAGGAGGGAGAGAGAGAGAGGTCACCTGCAACAGACAGACATCTCCCCCTCTCCTCTGTTCCTCTCTATCCTGTACTAAGTGTTGCAGCGAGAGCCTATCAGTCTTGGGTGTGTTAGATAAACTAACAGAGCTGTAGTCCCAGGTCCCGGGCCTCTGGGAGGAGATAGTAACTCCAGTCTGACTGACACTGTTTACACGCCCGCTGACAGAGTGTGAGCATCACAAAACAGCTGCTACACATGCAGGGAAATGTACCATTAAGATAAAATAACCCATCAACGAACACAGGGCAGCGGAACAATCGCAGCAACAAAGAAATAAAATTTAAAAAAAACGGGGCTTGATGAATATGATGTACAAATCATTTGGATGTAACACGTTTTGTTATCTCTGGAAAAAATATTATTTTCTGTAATATATGAGGGGAAATCCTGGACATTGGCCACATACACGGTCTTATGTCTGTTCATTTGTCTGTTGTGTAGAGGTCAGTTGATTTGACTGTCTGCCCACTCGCCCGTCCGTCTGTGTCAATTGTCCCCCGGTATGAAGATCTATATCCCCCTGTCCACCCATCTGTCTGTCAGTCCATACTAAACATGCCTCTACATCCCAGGCATAGACTGACCGATCAACTCCAGCACTGACTGACCATCAACATCCCAGTCCAACTGAACTGCCAGTCTAACATCCCGGCCAATGAATAGACATCTAACATCCCAGCCACTAGCACAGACCATCTACATCCAGGCCAACTAGAATGACCATCTAACATCCCAGGCCACTAGAAAGACCATCTAACATCCCAGGCCAACTAGAACATGACCATCTAACATCCCAGGCCAACTAGAACATGACCATCTAACATCCCAGGCCAACTAGAACATGAGCATCTAACATCCCAGGCCAACTAGAACATGAGCATCTAACATCCCAGGCCAACTAGAACATGAGCATCTAACATCCCAGGCCAACTAGAACATGAGCATCTAACATCCCAGGCCAACTAGAACATGAGCATCTAACATCCCAGGCCAACTAGAACATGACCATCTAACATCCCAGGCCAACTAGAACATGAGCATCTAACATCCCAGGCCAACTAGAACATGACCATCTAACATCCCAGGCCAACTAGAACATGACCATCTAACATCCCAGGCCAACTAGAACATGACCATCTAACATCCCAGGCCAACTAGAACATGACTATCTAACATCCCAGGCCAACTAGAACATGACCATCTAACATCCCAGGCCAACTAGAACATGACTATCTAACATCCCAGGCCAACTAGAACATGACCATCTAACATCCCAGTAGAACATGGCCACTAGGTCTGGGATGAGCATAAGGCATAAGGGATGTGGTAATCTAGTGCTTTCATGTTTACAGTGTGGCCATCATCAGAGGATTTACTCCTGGGGGATTTAGTCTCAGTAAAAGTACCCTTGTACCCCTGGCCCTGACACTACAGTACAGTAGAGGGGAGGACATGGCAATCACATTTCAGGATTCATGACGTGAGGGGCTGCAGGCAGACATGACCGCTTGGCCTGAGAACTAGCCCATCATCAGTCACAGAGAGAAGTGTGTGTGTGTGTGTGTGTGGGGGGGGGGGGGGGTTGGGGTGAAAGAGGGGATTTCATTCCATCTCCTCTCACCTTACAAATCATTACAGCCCGCTTAATAAACCATTAGGACTCTGCTCTCAGAAGCTCAGAGAGACTATAGGAGGAGAGGCTGCGGGAGACTATAGGAGGAGAGGCTGGGGGAGGAGAGGGCTGTGGGGAGACTATAGGAGGAGAGGAGGTGGGAGAGAGAGGGCTGGGGAGACTATAGGAGGAGAGGCTGTGGGAGACTATAGGAGGAGAGGCTGTGGGAGGAGAGGAGAGGTGGAGACTATAGGAGGAGAGGCTGTGGGGAGAGGGGGACGAGGCTGTGGGAGACTATAGGAGGAGAGAGGCTGTGGGAGGAGAGGCTGTGGGAGACTATAGGAGGAGAGGCTGTGGGAGGAGAGGCTGTGGGGAGACTATAGGAGGAGAGGCTGTAGTGTGGAGTAGAGGAGAGGCTGTGGGAGACTATAGGAGGAGAGGCGTGGGGGAGCGTGGACTATGAGGGGAGAGGCTGTGGGAGGAGAGGCTGTGGGAGACTATAGGAGGAGAGGCTGTGGGAGGAGAGGCTGTGGGAGACTATAGGAGGAGAGGCTGTGGGAGACTATAGGAGGAGAGGCTGTGGGAGGAGAGGCTGTGGGAGACTATAGGAGGAGAGGCTGTGGGAGGAGAGGCTGTGGGAGACTATAGGAGGAGAGGCTGTGGGAGACTATAGGAGGAGAGGCTGTGGGAGGAGAGGCTGTGGGAGACTATAGGAGTGAAGAGCTTGGGGAGAGCTGTGGGAGACTATAGGGAGAGGCTGTGGGAGAGGCTTGTGGGAGACTATGGAGGAGAGGCTGTGGGGAGAGGCTGTGGGAGACTAAGAGAGTGAGAGGCTGTGGGAGGAGAGGCTGTGGGATAAGGAGGAGAGGCTGTGGGAGACTATAGGAGGAGAGGCTGTGGGAGACTATAGGAGGAGAGGCTGTGGGAGACTATAGGAGGAGAGGCTGTGGGAGGAGAGGCTGTGGGAGGAGAGGCTGTGGGAGAATAACAGCGGGATGGATGCTTTAGGTCAGTCAGACGGATGACTTCCAGTGTTGTGCTGGAGGATGGACTGTGTACAGTATGTAATGTAATGTCTGAATCCTGGAGAGTTATTCTGTAGGTGTATGTGTTGCATATATAATGTGTCAAAAAACTATGTTATTGTGCTTGACGATTTGACCTGGAAGGGATTACTCGAATTGAAAGAAAAAAATAATTGTACTTTAATGTTACCCGCTGTCTATGTTCTCCAGCTGGCCGACAGTGTCCAGGTCGACCCGGTCTAGATGCATCTCCTTCACTGCACTCAGAACCTTCTGCTGGTCCTCTGGGTCGGAGATACCAATCTGGGGGAGAACGCAGCATTAACAACTGGGCAACATACTGGTAACTCAGGTTGCAAAATTCCCAGGTTTTTCAGAAATCCTGGTTGGAGCATTCCCAGTTGGAGTATTCCCACCATGCTAATTCCCTACTGATTCCAGGAATCATATCGATTTCTGAAAAACCTGGAAACTTGCTGACAGACAGACTGACATAAAGAGGTCTTTCATACCTTCTCCAGGTCATCCTTCTCCATGGTTACCAGGTAGCTCCAAGTGATGTCATTTTCCTGCAAAGAGAAGAAAAACTACTTTGACGATCTGACAACTTGCAAACCAGCCCACACCCTGAACAGATATTGTACAATAATTTACAATATGCATTTGTGTAGCTACCGGTATGTGTCTTTTTAAAAATACCGGTAACAGATTACAGTATGCGTTTGTTTTGTGAAGCTACTTGCTACCGGTATGTCTATTTGATCTAATGATGAAAATATCAATCCACACCCGCCGCCCCCAAACTGAGCTTCATACACTATTGTTTTCACTCCAGAGTCAGACCCAGTCTTTACACCTGTCTGCTCAACATCAATGAGCCAGGAGTAGGGTTGGACAAGTATTTGATAATACCATATGCTGGGATGTGGCATGAGGAAGATATGAAAACTCTGGAAACTGCCCAACCACAGTGAGGATGAGAGGTACAGTACTCAAATAATGTCAGAGGAACCCCTGTGTGTGTGCGTGTATGTGTTTAAGGAGTACACTACTCACTAGCATTATGTCAGAAAGGTACTCCAGGTTGAGTCCGTGCAGGAGCAGCTCAATGTCACACAGCTTGGCCAGACTAGGAGAGGTTAAAGGTCGTTATTTTAAAAGAGAATGGGCGCGTTTGAGATTGACTACATTGAAGTTGAACTGTGCAGAATCATCACTGATCAACAAATCAACCTTTAAATCCCCTACTCAACATTATTTGTAGATCAGTCAGTTTGCTCACGCTCTCAAACACAAGTAATGTCTTCTCAGTAACTTACCCGGTTAAATAAAGGCAATAAATAAATAAATAAATAGGTTTAAGAGCGTACTACATCAACCCCACGTAGCCAAGTCGGCTGCCTAAAATATTTCAGAGCAGATAAACATTGACAGATTAAACAGGCCAGATTAAAACATTGAATCTTCAACAGTCAGACACATAAGACTAAATATGTTAAAGCATTATGGTGCAGATTTAGCAGCTAGTCCCTAAATGGGACTAAACCAGGTCTAAAAACCTGTCTCATGACATGGGACACTTCACTCTACGTCCACTAGAGGGCCCCAAACACCCATCACAGCTGCTGGCCTCCACTGACTGATCTGTTGCCTTTTCTCAATTCATTTTACCTCGATTCCTCGCATCCTCTCTCGTCGCCTCCAAAAAACGAATTGTAAAATAACTCCTGAGGGGAGGGACCTTGGACCTACTCCAATACAGTTGAGAAGAGGATATAGGATACGAGGAATAGTAGTAAGACAAATTGAGATTTAGCAAAGGTCTCACCTCTCCTTGGAGTCAGCAGGGGGATCGGGGTCCCTCTTGAAGAACTTGAAGAGGGTCTCCTCTTTCGAGGATGTCACCTGCCCGTTGGTGAGGGCATCGCCTGGGGACGCCAGGATCCTGGCAATCTGCGGGGGAAGAAGACCAGATATACATGGAGTGTACAAAATACTCTTTCCATGGCAGACTGACCAGGTGAATGCAGGTGAAAGCTATGATCCCTTATTGATGTCACTTGTTAAATCCACTTCAATCTGTGTAGATGAAGGGGAGCAGACAGGTTAAAGAAGGATTTTTAAGCCATGAGACAATTGAGACATGGATTGTGTATGTGTGCCATTCAGAGTGAATGGGCAAGACAAAATATTTAAGAGCCTTTGAACGGAGTATGGTAGTATGTGCCAGGTGCACCGGTTTGCGTGTCAAGAACAAATCAAATCAACAGTTTCCTGTGTGTATCAAGAATGGTCCGCCACCCAAAGGTCATCCAGCCAACTTGACACAACTGTGGAAAGCATTGGAGTGACCATGGGCTAGCATCCCTGTGGAAAGCCTTCGATACCTTGTAGAGTCCATGCCCCCGATGAATTGAGGCTGTTCTGAGGGCAAAAAAGGGGGTGCAATTCAATATTAGGAAGGTGTTTTATATAATGTTTGCAAGAGAAGGGGAAGATGGCGCCAGTCTCGCACCTCAAGACTACCATTTCATAGTGTGGTAAATGTGGCTGTGGTTAGAGTTTGGTTTTACTGTATCTGTGGTTGTTTAAACACCAGATTTAGGTGTCAGAGTTATGTATTTGGCAAACTGTGTTGGACACAAAGTTGTGGCTGTGGGGTTCGGTTGGTTCTACCTGTGGAACGTTTGAACACCGTGGCTATGTCAGCAGCACTCTTCCCAGTCTTGGTCTTGATAATATATGATACTATATACTGAAGAAAAATATAAACTCAACATGTAAAGTTTTGGTCCCATGTTTCATGAGCTGAAATAAAAGATCCCAGAAATGTTCCATACGCACAAAAAGCTTGTTTCTCTCAAATTTTCTGCACAAATTTGTTTACATCCCTGTTAGTGAGTATTTCTCATTTGCCAAGATAATCATCCACCTGACAGGTGTAGCATATCAAGAAGCTGATTAAACAGCATGATCATTACACAGGTGCACCTTGTGCTGGGGACAATAAAAGGCAGCTCTAAAATGTGCAGTTTTATCACACCACGCCACAGATGTCTCAAGTTTTGAGGGAGCGTGCAGTTGGCATGCTGACTGCAGGAATGTCCACCAGAACTGTTACCAGATAATTTAATGTTCATTTGGCAGTACGTCCAAACGGCCTCACAACCACAGAGCATGGGTAACTATGCCAGCCCAGGACCTCCACATCCAGCTTCTTTACTTGCGGGATCGTCTGAGACCAGCCACCCGGACAGCTGATGAAACTGAGTAATTCTGTCTGTAATAAAGCCCTTTTGTGGGGAAAAACTTCTGATTGGCTGGGCCTGGCTCCCCAGTGGGTGGGCCTATGCCCTCCCAGGCCCACCCATGGCTGCGCCCCTGCCCAGTCATGTGAAATCCATAGATTAGGGCCTAATGAATTTATTTCAATTGACTGATTTCCTTATATGAACTGTAACTCAGTAAAATCGTTGAAATCGTTGCATGTTGTGTTTATATTTTTGTTCAGTATAAATAATAGAATTAGTGGTTGTGTTTACCTGTGGTCGTTTGAAGACCTTGGCCAAGTCGGCAGCACTCTTCCCTGCTTTGGTCTTGAGGGTCTTGTCTGCCCCCAGCTGGAGCAGCTTGAGGACGGCCTCTTCTCTACCGTACTGCACTGCCACAGTCAGGGCCTGGGTCAAAGGTCACAGCAGGTTATCACTTACTATCAATGTCTAGTGCCATCCTAATTACCATTAATAATCACAGTGTCACCAAATCATTACTATCAATCAGTCAGAATCAATCAAGAGAATGTAAAAGTATTTGATTGTTGTAAGCATGGGCTGGAAGGAGTTAACACCATATTCCACTAAAAAAGTATACACTTTGGGAGAAAGGAGGGATTATTGGGAAGCAGGGAAGGCTGATGTATAAAAGTAAAAACAAAAGTGTCCGCTTATGAGACACAGGCATTACACCAGGTGGGCATCCTTACCGTGTACCCATTTTCATCCTGGGAGTTGACCTCTGCCCCGTGAGACAACAGCACGTTGATCACCTGACTGTAGCCGTCCCGGGACGCCAGCATCAGGGATGTCATACGAGACCTGGGAATGGGAATAGAATGAATACCCACCCACCCTACCTACCTAGAGAGGGTGAAAACACACTTTGGTGATGAAATGATTCACACCCCTTGACTTTTTCCACATTTTGTTACAGCCTTAATTTAAAATGGATTAAATTCAGATTTTTTGTCACTGGCCTACACACAAAACCCCATAATGTCAAAGTGGAATTATGTTTTACAAAATATTTAACAAATTAATTAAAAATGAAAAGCTGAAATGTCTTGTGTCAATAAGTATTCAACCCTTTTGTTATGGCAAGCCTAAATAAGTTCAGGAGTAAAGGTTTGCTTAACAAGTCACATAATAAGTTGCATGGACTCTCTGTGTGCAATAATATGATTTTTGAATGACTACCTCATCTCTGTACCCCACACATACAATTATCTGTAAGATTCCTCAGTCGAGCAGTGAATTTCAAACACAGATTCAACCCCAAAGACCAGGGAGGTTTTCCAGTGCCTCGCAAAGAAGGGCACCTATTGGTAGATGAGTACAAATGTAAAAAGCAGACATTGAATGTCCCTTTGAGCATGGTGAAGTTATTAATTACACTTTGGATGGTGTATCAATACACCCAGTCACTACAAAGATACAGGCGTCCTTCCTAACTCAGTCGCTGGAGAGGAAGCAAACCACTCAGGGATTTCACCATGAGGCCAATGGTGACTTTAAAACAGTTAGAGTTTAATGGCTGTGATAGGAGAAAACTGAGGATGGATCAACAACATTGTAATTACTCCACAATACTAACCTAAATGACAGAGTGAAAAGAAGGAAGACTGTAATGAATAAAAATAATACTGAAAAAAAAAAAGCAAAGCTATTAACTTTTGTCCTGAATACAAAGTGTTACAGTGGGGGAAAAAAGTATTTAGTCAGCCACCAATTGTGCAAGTTCTCCCACTTAAAAAGATGAGAGGCCTGTAATTTTCATCATAGGTACACGTCAACTATGACAGACAAATTGAGGAAAACAATTCCAGAAAATCACATTGTAGGATTTTTAATGAATTTATTTGCAAATCATGGTGGAAAATAAGTATTTGGTCACCTACAAACAAGCAATATTTCTGGCTCTCACAGACCTGAAACTTCTTCTTTAAGAGGCTACTCTGTCCTCCACTCGTTACCTGTATTAAATGGCACCTGTTTGAACTTGTTATCAGTATAAAAGACACCTGTCCACAACCTCAAACAGTCACACTCCAAACTCCACTATGGCCAAGACCAAAGAGCTGTCAAAGGACACCAGAAACAAAATTGTAGACCTGCACCAGGCTGGGAAGACTGAATCTGCAATAGGTAAGCAGCTTGATTTGAAGAAATCAACTGTGGGAGCAATTATTAGGAAATGGAAGACATACAAGAGCACTGATAATCTCCCTCGATCTGGGGCTCCACGCAAGATCTCACCCCGTGGGGTCAAAATGATCAAAAAAATCCCAGAACCACACAGGGGGGACCTAGTGAATGACCTGCAGAGAGCTGGGACCAAAGTAACAAAGCCTACCATCAGTAACACACTACGCCGCCAGGGACTCAAATCCTGCAGTGCCAGACGTGTCCCCCTGCTTAAGCCAGTACATGTCCAGGCCCGTCTGAAGTTTGCTAGAGTGCATTTGGATGATCCAGAAGAGGATTGGGAGAATGTCATATGGTCAGATGAAACCAAAATATAACTTTTTGGTAAAAACTCAACTCGTCGTGTTTGGAGGACAAAGAATGCTGAGTTGCATCCAAAGAACACCATACCTACTGTGAAGCATGGGGGTGGAAACATCATGCTTTGGGGCTGTTTTTCTGCAAAGGGACCAGGACGACTGATCCGTGTAAAGGAAAGAATGAATGGGGCCATGTATCGTGAGATTTTGAGTGAAAACCTCCTTCCATCAGCAAGGGCATTGAAGATGAAACGTGGCTGGGTCTTTCAGCATGACAATGATCCCAAACACACCGCCCGGGCAACGAAGGAGTGGCTTCGCAAGAAGCATTTCAAGGTCCTGGAGTGGCCTAGCCAGTCTCCAGATCTCAACCCCATAGAAAATCTTTGGAGGGAGTTGAAAGTCCGTGTTGCCCAGCGACAGCCCCAAAACATCACTGCTCTAGAGGAGATCTGCATGGAGGAATGGGCCAAAATACCAGCAACAGTGTGTGAAAACCTTGTGAAGACTTACAGAAAACGTTTGACCTGTGTCATTGCCAACAAAGGGTATATAACAAAGTATTGAGAAACTTTTGTTATTGACCAAATACTTATTTTCCACCATAATTTGCAAATAAATTCATTAAAAAATCGTACAATGTGATTTTCTGGATTTTTTTTCTTCTCATTTTGTCTGTCATAGTTGACGTGTACCTATGATGAAAATTACAGGCCTCTCTCATCTTTTTAAGTGGGAGAACTTGCACAATTGGTGGCTGACTAAATACTATTTTTCCCCACTGTATGTTTGGGGCAATTCCAATACAACACATTACCGAGTACCACTCTCCATATTTTCAAGCATAGTGGTGGCTGCATCATATTATGGGTATGCTTGTAATCGTTAAGGACTGGGGAGTTTTTCAGGATACATTTTTTTACGGAATGGAGCTAAGCAAAGGCAAAATCCTAGAGGAAAACCTGGTTCAGTCTGCTTTCCACCAGACACTGGGAGATGAATTCACCTTTCAGCAGGAAAATAACCTAAAACAAGGCCAAATCTACACTGGAGTTGCTTACCAAGAAGACAGTGAATGTTCCTGAGTGGCTGAGTTAAAGTTTTGACTTAAATCTACTTGAAAATCTATGGCAAGACCTGAAAATGGTTGTTTACCAATTTGACAGAGCTTGACTAATTTTTTAAATAATAAATGGGCAAATGTTACACAATCCAGGTGTGGAAAGCTCTTAGAGACTTACCCAGAAAGACTCAGCAGTAAATCGCTGCCAAAGGTGCTTCTACAAAATATTGACTCAGGGGTGTGAATACTTATGTACACTGAACAAAAAATATACAAACGGAACATGCAACAAGTTCAAAGATTTTACTGAGTTATAGTTCATATAAGGATATCAGTCAAATTAAATAAATTCATTAGGTCCTAATCTATGGATTTCACATGACTGGGAATACAGATATGCATCTGTTGGTCAAAGATACCTTTAAAAAAAGGTATGGGCATGGATCAGAAAAGCAGTCAGTATCGGGTGTGACCACCATTTTCCTCATGCAGCATGACACGTCTCCTTTGCATAGAGTTGATCAGGCTGTTGATTGTGGCCTGTGGAATGTTGTCCCACTCCTCTTCAATGGATGTGCGAAGTTGCTGGATATGGTTGGGAACTGTAACACGCTGTCGTACATGTCGATCTAGAATATCCCAAACATGCTCAATGGGTGACATGTCTGGTGAGTATGCAGGCCATGGAAGAACTGGTACATTTTCAGCTTCCAGGAATTGTGTACAGATCCTTGCGACATGGGGCCGTGCATTATCACGCTGAAACATAAGGCACTACAATGGGCATCAGGATCTCGTCAAGGTATCTCTTTGCATTTAAATTGCCATCGATAAAATGCAATCGTGTTCGTTGTCCGTAGCTTATGCCTGCCCATACCATAGCCCCAAAATGTGGAATAAGTCAAGGGGTATGAATACTTTCTACAAAGAGAAATATGATTATTCATGTTCTGAATCGTTCAGTGGGGTCTTTCTCTAACATATCATTAATATTATATTGAAAAAGTCGGATTAAGTAACCTAATACATCCGATAAAAGCACCAAGCTCTGTTGAAAGAGCAGTGCAGGTTTCTCATAACTTGAAGATTTAAAATTTTTTGGTCGTCGTCTTCAAAGTTGTTTCCACGGGTCGCAAAAAGCAAAATTAGCATGACACGAGCTGAATTAAATGTAAAAGGCTCATCGCTGCGTTGACAATTCAGAGAAACGTGTTTTTGTGAGAAATCTACAAAAAAATATTAAAATACTACTTGTCATGTCTCAAAATCGTAGGGCTGTCCCCGACCAAAAGAAATATTGGGTCGACCGAAAGTCGTCTGTTCTTTCGACCAATCGATTGGTCAACATTGTAGTGTATTTTTCCATATATAGACAAAACCTACAGTACCAGTCAAAAGTCTGGACACACCTACTCATTCAAGGGATTTTCTTAATTTTTTACTATTTTCTACATTGTAGAATAATAGTGAAGACATCAAAACTATAGAATAACACATACGGAATCATGTAGTAACCCAAAAAGTGTTAAACAAATTAAAATATATTTTATATTTGAGATTCTTCAAATAGCCACCCTTTGCATACCCTCAGCATTCTCTCAACCAGCTTCATGAAGAATGCTTTTCCAACAGTCTTGAAGGAGCACTTGTTGGCTGCTTTTCCTTCACTCTGCGGTCCAACTCATCCCAAACCATCTCAATTGGGTTGAGGTCGAGTGATTGTGGAGGCCAGGTCATCTGATGCAGCACTACATCACTCTCCTTCTTGGTCAAATAGCCCGTACACAGCCTGGAGGTGGGTTTTCGGTCATTGTCCTGTTGAAAAACAAATGGTAGTCCCACTACACGCAAACAAGATGGGATGGCGTATCGCTGCAGAATGCTGTGGTAGCCATGCTGGTTAAGTGTGCCTTGAATTCTAAATAAATCACCAACAGTGTAACCAGCAAAGCACCCCACACCATCATACCTCCTCCTCCATGCTTCACGGTGGGAACCACACATGCAGAGATCATCCGTTCACCTACTCTGCGTCTCACAAAGACACGGCGGTTGGAACCAAGAATCTCCAATTTGGACTCATCAGACCAAAGGACAGATTTCCACCGGTCTAATGTCCATTGCTCATGTTTCTTGGCCCAAGCAAGTCTCTTCTTCTTATTGGTGTCCTTTAGTAGTGGTTTCTTTGCAGCAATTCGACCATGAAGGCCTGATTCATGCAGTCTCCTCTGAACAGTTGATGTTGAGATGTGTCTGTTACTTGAACTCTGTGAAGCATTTATTTGGGCTGCAATCTGAGGTGCAGTTAACTCTAATGAACTTATCCTCTGCAGCAGAGGTAACTCTGGATCTTCCTTTCCTGTGGCCGTCCTCATGAGAGCCAGTTTCATCATAGTGCTTGATGTTTTTGCGACTGCACTTGAAGAAACTTTCAAAGTTCTTAATGTTCCGGATTGACTGACCTTCATGTCTTAAAGTAACGATGGACTGTCGTTTCTCTTTGCTTATTTGAGCTGTTCTTGCCATAATATGGGCTTGGTCTTGTATACCACCCCTACCTTGTCACAACACAACTGATTAGCTCAAACGCATTAAGGAAAGAAATTCCACAAAATCACTTTTAACAAGGCATACCTGTTAATTGAAATGCATTCCAGATGACTACCTCATGAAGCTGGTTGAGAGAATACCAAGAGTGTGAAAAACTGTCATCAAGGCAAATGGTGGCTACTTTGAAGAATCTCAAATATAAAATATATAAAATATATAACACTTTTTTGGTTACTACATTATTACATATGTTATTTCATAGTTTTGATGTCTTCACTATTATTCTACAATGTAGTAAATAGTAAAAATAAAGGAAAACCCTTGAATGAGTAGGTGTGTCCAAACTTTTGACTGGTACTGTATGTGTTTTAATAAAATCAACTATATACAATTGAAGTCGGAAGTTTACATACACTTAGGTTGAAGTCATTAAAACTTGTTTTTCAACCACTCCACAAATTTCTTGTTAACAAACTATAGTTTTGGCAAGTCGGTTAGGACACAAGTCATTTTTCCAACAATTGTTTACAGACAGATTATTTCACTTATAATTCACTGTATCACAATTCCAGTGGGTCAGAAGTTTACATACACTAAGTTGACTGTGCCTTTAAACAGCTTGGAAAATTCCAGAAAATTATGTCATGGCTTTAGAAGTTTCCGATAGGCTAATTGACATCATTTGAGTCAATTGGAGGTGTACCTGTGGATGTATTTCAAGGCCTACCTTCAAACTCAGTGCCTCTTTGCTTGACATCATGGGAAAATCAAAAGAAATCAGCCAAGACCTCAGAAAAGAAATTGTAGACCTCCACAAGTCTGGTTCATCCTTGGGAGCAATTTCCAAACGCCTGAAGGTACCACGTTCATCTGTACAAACAATAGTACGCAAGTATAAACACCATGGGACCACACAGCCGTCATACCGCTCAGGAAGGAGACGCCTTCTGTCTCCTAGAGATTAATGTACGTTGATGCGAAAAGTGCAAATCAATCCCAGAACAACAGCAAAGGACCTTGTGAAGATGCTGGAGGAAACAGGTACAAAAGTATCTATATCCACAGTAAAACGAGTCCTATATCGACATAACCTGAAAGGCCGCTCAGCAAAGCAGAAGTCACTGCTCCAAAACCGCCATTAAAAAAGCCAGACTACGGTTTGCAACTGCACATGGGGACAAAGATCTTACTTTTTGGAGAAATGTCCTCTGGTCTGATGAAACAAAAATAGAACTGTTTGGCCATAATGACCATCGTTATGTTTGAAGGAAAAAGGGGTGGCTTGCAAGCCGAAGAACACCATCCCAACCGTGAAGCATGGGGGTGGCAGCAACATGCTGTGGGGGTGCTTTGCTGCAGGAGGGACTGGTGCACTTCACAAAATAGATGGCATCATGAGGAAGGAACATTATGTAGATATATTGAAGCAACATCTCAAGACATCAGTCAGGAAGTTAAAGCTTGGTCGCAAATGGGTCTTCCAAATGGACAATGACTCCAAGAACACTTCCAAAGTTGTGGCAAAATGGCTTAAGGACAACAAAGTCAAGGTATTGGAGTGGCCATCACAAAGCCCTGACCTCAAACCTATAGAAAATTTGTGGGCAGAACTGAAAAAGCGTGTTTGAGCAAGGAGGCCTACAAACCTGACTCAGATACACCAGCTCTGTCAGGAGGAATGGCCAAAATTCACCCAACTTATTGTGGGAAGCTTGTGGAAGGCTACCCGAAACGTTTGACCCAAGTTAAACAATTTAAAGGCAATGCTACCAAATACTAATTTAGTGTATGTAAACTTAATAATAATAATAATAATAATAATATGCCATTTAGCAGACGCTTTTATCCAAAGCGACTTACAGTCATGCGTGCATACATTTTTGTGTATGGGTGATCCCGGGGATCGAACCCACTACCTTGGCGTTACAAGCGCCGTGCTCTACCAGCTGAGCTACAGAGGACCACAACTTCTGACCCACTGGGAATGTGATGAAAGAAATAAAAGGTGAAATAAATCACTCTCTCTACTATTATTCTGACATTTCACATTCTTAAAATAAAGTGGTGATCCTAACTGACCTAAGACGGAATTTTTACTAGGATGAAATGTCAGGAATTGTGAAAAACTGAGTTTAAATGTATTTGGCTAAGGTGTATGTAAACTTCCGAAATTCAACTGTATGCATTGAGGTTGTCTGATGCTTTAAGCTCACTGTTTGATGAAATAAGAGAAATTACTCAAGATGGAGCCAGAGATCAAGATAACCACATGAAAAAAAAACTTAACCTGGCACCGACCATCCTCTTCCCGCTCCTACTGGCTTTCGCAGATTCTGCCGTTACTCTCCTGAAGTTGCTGGTAATAAGCTACATGAGGAGTTGGCAAACTTTCTACATTTACATTTACATTTTAGTCATTTAGCAGACGCTCTTATCCAGAGCGACTTACAGTTAGTGAATACATATTTTTTTTATACTGGCCCCCCGTGGGAAACGAACCCACAACCCTGGCGTTGCAAACGCCATGCTCTAACATCCGCGCCATTCTCCCTACCTGTGGCAATGTGCCCGCCAATCTCCGTCCGCCGCTGGCGAGCGTATTCGAACCGGATCTCTGTGACACATTAACCGATCAGTGTTACCCTGCCTCAGTTTTCATGTGGATGCCAGATTTATCTGACCATATTCAAACGGATCTGTGTGCCAGTTTCATTTAATTTATAATAACATCTTCGTATCTCAAAATCATTGTCATGTGGTTAATCAAAATTCTATCCAAATCTAAATGAAAATGATAAACCTAAAAAGTAACTTCTACTGCCATTGCCAACTACAGTATGTAAAAATAGCCTATAAAGCCCACAAATAAAACCATTACAGCCTGCAGGTAGAAAATATCCTGATAAAAATAAATATCCTATAAATTACATTACCTGTCTGCAACGAACTTGAAACATTGTATCAACTAATAACTTGGGTCCGGCCTGAAGCTCCTTGCAACATTGCATAAAATATTCTGGGCCCTCAGAGTTTCCCGCGCCAGTGAGCTCGGGACCGATACAGCTGTAGGCTATTTGCACAAGGGATAAGAAGTAATCTGGTACGCCTATTTTATGACGTTTCCACTGGATCAGAGCATGGCATTTTTCCCTTTCATGCCGAGTGGTTATCGAAAGGGAGAGAGCTGGAAAGATTTTTCAAATACATTGAGGAATGATTGTTATTCTCAATGGATGTAAAAACAGACTTAGTTTGCTTGCTGTTTGACGTAAAGAAAATCAGATCTCCAAATGGGCACATTTATGTGCCTACATTTGTGTACAGGCTAGGTAGCCTGTAGGCCTACTTCTATGCGTAATCAGGTGCGCGTCCTTACTCAACATTGTCAGGAGCGCTCCAAACAAAAGACAATTACTAAATTGACAAAACTCGTAAATGGAATGAAATAAACCAAAACTTGTTTCTCACAAGTGTAGCATAGGTTGTGCGCTCTGCAAACAACATGTCCACTCAGACAATGAGAACGGTAAAATACTGGAATAATAATATATTGAATGCATTAACAGACATTGCCTTTAACCAAACAAACATTGTAGATTAGAATTTATAGGAATTCAAGGTAAATGTACTACTGGTGATATACAGTGCATTGGGAAAGTATTCAGACCCCTTCCTCCACATTTTGGTTACGTTACAGCCTTATTCTAAAATTGATAAAATAATTTTTTTAACTCAATCTACTACACAATACCCCATAATGACAAAGCAAAAACTGTTTTTTAGAAATGTTTGCTAATTTATAAAAAATAAAAATATAACATTTACATAAGTATTCAGACCCTTTGCTCAGTACGTTGTTGAAGCACCTTTGGCAGCGATTACAGCTTTGAGTCTTCTTGGGTATGATGCAAATGTATAAAATAAATGTTATATAAATATATATATATATATATATATATATGAGGGAAAAAAGTATTTGATCCCCTGCTGATTTTGTACGTTTGCCCACTGACAAAGACATGATCAGTCTATAATTTTAATGGTAGGTTTATTTGAACAGTGAGAGACAGAATGACAACAAAAAAATCCAGAAAAACGCATGTCAAAAATGTTATAAATTGATTTGCATTTTAATGAGGGAAATAAGTATTTGACCCCTCTGAAAAACATGATTTAGTACTTGGTGGCAAAACCCTTGTTGGCAATCACAGAGGCAACTCGAACCTTCAGCTCCCTCCACAGATTTTGGCTAGGCCACTCCAGGACCTTAATGTGTTTCTTCTTGAGCCACTCCTTTGTTGCCTTGGCCGTGTGTTTTGGGTCATTGTCATGCTGGAATACCCATCCACGAACCATTTTCAATGCCCTGGCTGAGGGAAGAAGGTTCTCACCCAAGATTTGACGGTACATGGCCCCGTCCATCATCCCTTTGATGCAGTGAAGTTGTCCTGTCCCCTTAGCAGAAAAACACCCCCAAAGCATAATGCTTCCACCTCCATGTTTGACGGTGGGGATGGTGTTCTTGGGGTCATAGGCAGCATTCCTCCTCCTCCAAACACGGCGAGTTGAGTTGATGCCAAAGAGCTCGATTTCGGTCTCATCTGACCACAACACTTTCACCCAGTTCTCCTCTGAATCATTCAGATGTTCATTGGCAAACTTCAGACAGGCCTGTATACAGTGGGGAAAATAAGTATTTAGTCAGCCAACAATTGTGCAAGTTCTCCCACTTAAAAAGATGAGAGAGGCCTGTAATTTTCATCATAGGTACACATCAACTATGACAGACAAATTGAGAAGAAAAAAATCCAGAAAATCACATTGTAGGATTTTTTATGAATTTATTTGCAAATTATGGTGGAAAATAAGTATTTGGTCACCTACAAACAAGCAAGATTTCTGGCTCTCACAGACCTGTAACTTCTTCTTTAAGAGGCTCCTCTGTCCTCCACTCGTTACCTGTATTAATGGCCCCTGTTTGAACTTGTTATCAGTATAAAAGACACCTGTCCACAACCTCAAACAGTCACACTCCAAACTCCACTATGGCCAAGACCAAAGAGCTGTCAAAGGACACCAGAAACAAAATTGTAGACCTGCACCAGGCTGGGAAGACTGAATCTGCAATAGGTAAGCAGCTTGGTTTGAAGAAATCAACTGTGGGAGCAATTATTAGGAAATGGAAGACATACAAGACCACTGATAATCTCCCTCGATCTGGAGCTCCACGCAAGATCTCACCCCGTGGGGTCAAAATGATCACAAGAACGGTGAGCAAAAATCCCAGAACCACACAGGGGGACCTAGTGAATGACCTGCAGAGAGCTGGGACCAAAGTAACAAAGCCTACCATCAGTAACACACTACGCCGCCAGGGACTCAAATCCTGCAGTGCCAGACGTATCCCCCTGCTTAAGCCAGTACATGTCCAGGCCCGTCTGAAGTTTGCTAGAGTGCATTTGGATGATCCAGAAGAGGATTGGGAGAATGTCATATGGTCAGATGAAACCAAAATATAACTTTTTGGTAAAAACTCAACTCGTCGTGTTTGGAGGACAAAGAATGCTGAGTTGCATCCAAAGAACACCATACCTACTGTGAAGCATGGGGGTGGAAACATCATGCTTTGGGGCTGTTTTTCTGCAAAGGGACCAGGACGACTGATCCGTGTAAAGGAAAGAATGAATGGGGCCATGTATCGTGAGATTTTGAGTGAAAACCTCCTTCCATCAGCAAGGGCATTGAAGATGAAACGTGGCTGGGTCTTTCAGCATGACAATGATCCCAAACACAACGCCCGGGCAACGAAGGAGTGGCTTCGTAAGAATAATTTCAAGGTCCTGGAGTGGCCTAGCCAGTCTCCAGATCTCAACCCCATAGAAAATCTTTGGAGGGAGTTGAAAGTCCGTGTTGCCCAGCGACAGCCCAAAACATCACTGCTCTAGAGGAGATCTGCATGGAGGAATGGGCCAAAATACCAGCAACAGTGTGTGAAAACCTTGTGAAGACTTACAGAAAACGTTTGACCTGTGTCATTGCCAACAAAGGGTATATAACAAAGTATTGAGAAACTTTTGTTATTGACCAAATACTTATTTTCCACCATAATTTGCAAATCAATTCATTAAAAATCCAACAAAGTGATTTTCTGGATTTTTTTCCTCTCATTTTGTCTGTCATAGTTGATGTGTACCTATGATGAAAATTACAGGCCTCTCTCATCTTTTTAAGTGGGAGAACTTGCACAATTGGTGGCTGACTAAATACTTTTTTCCCCACTGTATGTGCTTTCTTGAGCAGGGGGACCTTGCGGGCGCTGCAGGATTTCAGTCCTTCACGGCGTAGTGTGTTACCAATTGTTTTCTTGGTGACTATGGTCCCAGCTGCCTTGAGATCATTGACAAGATCCTCCCGTGTAGTTCTGGGCTGATTCCTCACCGTTCTCATGATCATTGCAACTCCACGAGGTGAGATCTTGCATGGAGCCCCAGGCCGAGGGAGATTGACAGTTCTTTTGTGTTTCTTCCATTTGCGAATAATCACACCAACTGTTGTCACCTTCTCACCAAGCTGCTTGGCGATGGTCTTGTAGCCCATTCCAGCCTTGTGTAGGTCTGCAATCTTGTCCCTGACATCCTTGGAGAGCTCTTTGGTCTTGGCCATGGTGGAGAGTTTGGAATCTGATTGATTGATTGCTTCTGTGGACAGGTGTCTTTTATACAGGTAACAAGCTGAGATTAGGAGCACTCCCTTTAAGAGTGTGCTCCTAATCTCAGCTCGTTACCTGTATAAAAGACACCTGGGAGCCAGAAATCTTTCTGATTGAGAGGGGGTCAAATACTTATTTCCCTCATTAAAATGCAAATAAATTTATAACATTTTTGACATGCGTTTTTCTGGAATTTTTTGTTGTTATTCTGTCTCTCACTCTTCAAATAAACCTACCATTCAAATTATAGACTGATCATTTCTTTGTCAGTGGGCAAACGTACAAAATCAGCAGGGGATCAAATACTTCCTCATGATCATTGATGCCCCACGAGGGGAGATCTTGCATGGAGCCCCAGACCGAGGGTGATTGACCGTCATCTTGAACTTCTTCCATTTTCTAATAATTGCGCCAACAGTTGTTGCCTTCTCACCAAGCTGCTTGCCTATTGTCCTGTAGCCCATCCCAGCCTTGTGCAGGTCTACAATTTTATCCCTGGTGTCCTTACACAGCTCTCTGGTCTTGGCTTTTGTGGAGAGGTTGGAGTCTGTTTGATTGAGTGTGTGGACAGGTGTCTTTTATACAGGTAACGAGTTCAAACAGGTGCAGTTAATACATGTAATGAGTGGAGAACAGGAGGGCTTCTTAAAGAAAAACTAACAGGTCTGTGAGAGCTGGAATTCTTACTGGTTGGTAGGTGATCAAATACTTATGTCATGCAATAAAATGCAAATTAATTACTTAAAAATCATACAATGTGATTTTCTGGATTTTTGATAAAAATGATACAAATTACAGACCTCTACATGCTTTGTAAGTAGGAAAACCTGCAAAATCGGCAGTGTATCAAATACTTGTTCTCCCCACTGTGTGTGTGTGTGTGTGTGTATATATATATATACACACTTATTTACATAAGTATTCAGACCCTTTGCTATGAGACTCGAAATTGAGCTCAGGTGCATCTTGTTTCCACTGATCATCCTCAAGATGTTTCTACAACTTGGGAGTCCATTGTGGTAGATTAAATTGATTGGAGATGATTTGGAAAAGCACACACCTGTCTGTCTATATAAGGTACCAAGCCATGAGGTTGAAGGAATTGTCCGTAAAGCTCAGAGACAGGATTGTGTCGAGGCACAGATCTGGAGAAGGGTACCAAAAATGTGCACCTGTGTAAATTTGCACCATCATTCTTAAATGGAAGAAGTTTGGAACCACCAAGACTCTTCCTAGAGCTGGCCGCCCTGCCAAACTGAGCAATCGGGGCAGAAGGGCCTTGGTCAAGGAGGTGACAAAGAACCTGAGCTCCAGAGTTCCTCTGTGGAGATGGGAGAACCTTCCAGATGGACAACCATCTCTGCAGCACTCCACCAATCAGGCCTTTATGGTAGAATGGCCAGACGGAATCCACTCCTCAGTAGAAGGCACATGACAGTCTGCTTGGAGTTTGCCAAAAGGCACCTAAAGGACTCTCAGCCCATGAGAAACAAGATTCTCTGGTCTGATGAAACCAAGATTGAACTCTTTGGCCTGAATGCCAAGCATCACGTCTGGAGGAAACCAGGCACCGCTCATCACCTGGTCAATACCATCCCTACGGTGAAGCATGGTGGTGGCAGCATCATGCTGTGGGGATGTTTTTCAGCGGCAGGGAGTGGGAGACTAGTCAGGATCAAGGGAAAGATGAACGGAGCAAAGTGCAGAGAGATCCTTGATGAAAACCTGCTCCAGAGTGCTCAGGACCTCACACTGGGGTGAAGGTTCACCTTCCAACAGGACAACGACCCTAAGCACACAGCCAAGACAATGCAGGAGTGGCTTTGGGACAAGTCTCTGAATGTCCTTCAGTGGCCCAGCCAGAGCCTGGACTTGAACCCGATCTAACAACTCTGGAGAGACCTGAAAATAGCTGTGCAGCGACACTCCCCATCCAACCTGACAGAGCTTGAGAGGATCTGCAGAGAAGAATGGGAGAAACTCCCCAAATACAGGTGTGCCAAGCTTGTAGCGTCATACCCAAGAAGACTCGAAGCTGTAATCGCTGCCAAAGGTGCTTCAACAACGTACTGAGCAAAGGGTCTGAATACTTATGTAAATGTTATATTTCTGTTTTTATTTTTAATAAATTAGCAAACATTTCTAAAAACCAGTTTTTGCTTTGTCATTATGGGGTATTGTGTGTAGATTGATGAGGAAACATGTTTATTTAATCAATTTGAGAATAAGGCTGTAATGTAACAAAATGTGGAAAAAGTCAAGGGGTCTGAATACTTTCCGAATGCACTGTATCTGGCCTCCATTGGTTTAGTCACCCTAATTCTGGCCATCCTATAAGGGTAAAAAAAAAAAAACTCCAATAACTTTTGAAAAGATTATGATAGAGACATGAGATTTGGACCATTGGTTTTCTTATAGGAGTATTTACACAATTAACCTTATTTTACCCATTTGCCAAAATATGAGTTTTTGATTGGACACCCTAGAATGAAATGGAATAGATTGTCAAAAATGTTTACAAACTGACATTTGTCTTCTCCCAATCTCAATTTGTCTTCTGCCTATCTAGGTAAGACAGAATGCGTGGTAGAACCTCTGAACACTTAAAACCACTGGAGGGAGACAGACACCAAGCCCTCAACTCTTCAGTGACCAGCTACAGTAGACCTGGCCAGGTTATGTTCTCTATGGAAACATGCTGTAAGGGAGAACATATTTCAAAACAGACAGTCTTCACACTGCAGCACTTGGCTTTGACACCTCTAGGGTAACATAAAACATATTGTAACTTAGAGTAAGTAGTCTAAGTTAAACAATTACTGTAAGTACTGTATTACTTACAGTTGAAGTCGGAAGTTTACATACACCTTAGCCAAATACATTTAAACTCAGTTTTTCACAATTCCTGACATTTAATCCTAGTAAAAATCCCTGTTTTAGGTCAGTTAGGATCACCACTTTATTTTAAGAATGTGAAATGTCAGAGTAATAGTAGAGAGAATGATTTATTTCACCTTTTATTTCTTTCATCACATTCCCAGTGGGTCAGAAGTTTACATACACTCAATTAGTATTTGGTAGCATTGCCTTTAAATTGTTTAACTTGGGTCAAACATTTTGGGTAGCCTTCCACAAGCTTCCCACAATAAGTTGGGTGAATTGTGGCCCATTCCTCCTGACAGAGCTGGTGTAACTGAGTCAGGTTTGTAGGCCTCCTTGCTCGCACACGCTTTTTCAGTTCTGCCCACACATTTTCTATAGGATTGAGGTCAAGGCTTTGTGATGGCCACTCCAATACCTTGACTTTGTTGTCCTTAAGCCATTTTGCCACAACTTTGGAAGTATGCTTGGGGTCATTGTCCATTTGGAAGACCCATTTGCGACCAAGCTTTAACTTCCTGACTGATGTCTTGAGATGTTGCTTCAATATATCCACATAATTTTCCTTCCTCATGATGCCATCTATTTTGTGAAGTGCACCAGTCCCTTCTGCAGCAAAGCACCCCCACAGCATGATGCTGCCACCACCATGCTTCACGGTTGGGATGGTGTTCTTCGGCTTGCAAGCGTCCCCCTTTTTCCTCCAAACAGTACTATTATTTGTACAGATGAACATGGTACCTTCAGGCGTTTGGAAATTGCTCCCAAGGATGAACCAGACTTGCGGAGGTCTACAATTATTTTTCTGAGGTCTTGGCTGATTTCTTTTGATTTTCCCATGACGTCAAGCAAAGAGGCACTGAGTTTGAAGGTAGGCCTTGAAATACATCCACAGGTACACCTCCAATTGACCCAAATGATGTCAATTAGCCTATCAGAAGCTTCTAAAGCCATGACATCATTTTCTGGAATTTTCCAAGCTGTTTAAAGGCACAGTCAACTTAGTGCATGTAAACTTCTGACCCACTGGAATTGTGAAACAGTGAATTATGAGTGAAATAATCTGTCTGTAAACAATTGTTGGAAAAATTACTTGCGTCATGCACAAAGTAGATGTCCTAACCGACTTGCCAAAACTATAGTGTGTTAAAAATAAATTTGTGGACTGGTTGAAAAACGAGTTTTAATAACTCCAACCTAACTGTATGTAAACTTCCAACTTCAACTATAAGTGGTTCACCACACTGTTTGGCCCGAACAAGCTGTCCTCTAAGTCAGTCCCAAACTCTGTCCTGTGGCCCCCCATGGGTGCACATTTTGGTTTCTGCCCTAGCACTACACAGCTAATTCAAATAATCAAAGCTTGATGATGAGTTGGTTATTTGAATCAGCTGTGGTGCTAGGGCAAAAACCAAAACATGCACCCAGGTGGGGCCCCAGGACAGAGTTTGGGAAACCCTGCTCTAGGTCAGTGGTTCTCAAACTTTTTCACTGGGGCCCCCCTTCTATCATTGGGGAACACCCAAAACACAATGTTATTGGGCAAGAGTGAGGCAGCCCATGCCATTGGTCACCCATCCTATTGTGTTGAGCAACAAACCAGCAAGTGTCAATAACCATTGACACAACTCAACTTTATCACCCGTGACTGACAGAACAGAGGGTGAGAAACTGCATCAGTCCAGAGGTGTGGGAATGCCCTGTGGCCATTCATCACAATATGTGACGTTTCCCAGGGACAGAGAGGGAGGATGTGTGTGTGTGAGAGAGCGAGAGTTGGTAAATCTGTGTGTATTGGTGACATCTAGGTGAGTTGGGGCGTAGTAATCTATCATCCTGACACATTCCAGGTATTCACTTTTTACTTCCTCTGACCGCAGGAGACAGGCTACTGAGCGTCACTGAGTGTTTTAGTGTCCTGCAAACCTGTTTCTCCCCAGGTATTGTTCTCAGTGGCAAACAGGTGACAAGGTCATTCGCTCGCGGCGGGGGTACAGCCAGAGTGTGTGTTTGTACTGTATGTGTTTTTGATCACCAGTTCCAGACGAGCAGAGAATCGATACGTAGACGGTTTTGAGCAAACACAACTCCGACGTCACAACTCTGAGAACAATGGCCTTGAGAGATAAAACAACCATACTAGATAAAACGATCAAAGTCCCCTTCTTATGAAGCCCTATGAAACCATTGTGACAGGTTATAATCAGTACATATCCTGTTCATAACCTCTGGAGAGGGTGACCACACCACACAGAGGCTGCCTACTCTCATCCTGCATCCCAAACAGTCCTTATCTCCTCAAAGGTTTCAGCTGAAACTGATTTCCAGCTCTAATCCAACTGACAGGTCATTAGACTGGAGGAAAAGGCTCGACTTTCACCTGGTATTCAAAAGAGGACAGACACAGTAGAGGATGCAGAGGACAAACCAGAGATGTGATCATAAACTGAGTATACAAAACATTAAGAACACCTGCTCTTTCCATTTATAGCCTGACCAGGTGAAACCTATGATCCCTTATAAATGTCAGTCACACACACACAGATGAAGGGGAGGAGACAGGTTAAAGAAGGATTTTTAAGCCTTGAAACAATTGAGACATGGATTGTGTATGTGTGCCATTCAGAGGGTGAATGGGCAAGACAAAATATGTAAATGCCTTTGAACGGGGTATGGTAGTAGGTGCCAGGCGCACTGGTTTGTGTCAAGACTGTAACGCTGCTGGGTTTTTAACGCTCAACTGTTTCCTGTGTGTATCAAGAATGGTCCACCACCCAAAGGGCATCCAGCCAACTTCACACAACAGTTGGAAGCATTGGAGTCAACATGGGCCAGCACCTTGTAGAGTCTATGCCCTGACGAATTGAGGCTGTTCTGAGGGCAAAAGAGGGGGTGTTCCTAATGTTTGGTATACTCAGTGTATAGCCTGTTGTCTATGCAAAAGGACCTCACTTTGCTGCACCATCCAATGGTCCAGGTTATTGTAGGCCATGGTTTCAAACTGATTTTATATGGCCCCCCAAGTTTTCTGAGCATATACATATATTTAAATAATATATAAAAATACAAAAACATCAGCTCCAAATTATTTTAATTTTGCACATCTGTTCCAAAGTATTGCCAGGCATAATATAGAAATGTAAGCAAGGTTTGAAAAGGTTATGTTTTAGTCAAATAATATATCTGTTCGGGCTTCTTGCGGTCCATTTGCATTCTACAAATTATGTTCCTGCCCCCTGACCATCTGCTCAAGAAAAGAAACAAAATCTAGTTGATGATCCCTGCCGTAGGCTGAGAGAGTGGACAAAACACATCTTGCTCCTGAACAAAACACACCATCTTTAAAAGGTTCATTTGTTTATAAGGCTGAGGGAAAGAAATGCATCTGGTGTGAATTGCTGGTCAAATACTCAGACGTTAAGGCCAAGGGGGGGCATGTTTCCCACAAGCACCCCTGGTCCCCTTTCTTTCCCCCTGTTGCTGTAACTCCGTTGTTCCCCCCTTTCCTCTCGACCGCATCCCTTCTGTCTCTCGTTACCGTTCTTCAAATATTTTGTCTGGAGAGGAAACAATCAATTTCCACCGCCTGCTCTCACTCTCTTTCTGGACGGTGTGTGTGTGTGTTGAAGTGCTTGGGGCGGTGTGTGGCACGGGTGGCGGGCATGAGACAAGGGTAGCGGAGAGTTTGTGAGGGGTGGGCGAAGGGCAACGGAGGTGGAGGGGAGAAGGCTAAGTTCGGGGCTTTATCCTTGGCTTGCCATGAGAAATGTCCAGAGATAATGACAACGGGTAAGTGGTTCCAGAATCCTCCCTCCTCTCTCCCTCCCTCCCTGCTTCTCTCCATACCTCCCTCACTCTGTGCCTGGGTAGCATCAGGCAGTACAGTGAGTTTAGGTGGTGTGGAGGAGGGCTTCTCTTACTCTTGTTTAGTCCCCCCCCTCTATAAGTGTTTATTGTCTGTCTGAAGGGAATCTGGGTATGTGTGCATGCAGATGCCATAACAGGGCATTCCACACAAAAGATAAATGCAGACCAACACACTGTACCGAGACACACACAAACACTGTACTCCATGTGGTGTAGTGGTGAAAAGGGACACTGGACAGCACAGGAGGAAGTCACAAGGTGGTCAAAGCCAGGGTCAAGACATGGTTGCCAGGCAACGGGAAACACTGCTTCAGTCCTGGTACTTTCCATCAAAGTAAATAATGTCTAAAGTAATAAAAAGTTCACATTAAAAAATCGAATCAAGAATAACAGAATTAGCATAACCCATTACACAATTTATATCAGCATCACCAAAACAGTGGATAAATGCGAACTCCAACCCTTAATGAATGTAATAACATGTTGCTGTTCACGTCTATTATGCGATGCCAACATAGAAGTGTTTCACAAGCTTGGCCATCAGAGGCTATATCATACCAGTCCCTGTGCTGCAGAGTATAACATGTACCATGTCTTATGATGAAATGACATGAAATTCACATCATGACACAGACAAAGACATGCACACAAACAGAGTCTCTCACCTGTTGAATGTGTTGGGGTCAGCATTTCTGGACAAGAGCAGCTCCACACACTGGACGATCTTGTCCTCGCTGGCAGAAGCTGTGCATGCAGCCATTAGTACCGTGTACTGGTCTATGTGACGCACACAAAGAGCATTAGTACTGGGACAGAATATTCAGTCCATGCATAATCTTATGACTATCATTTAACTAGACACAATTCAATGACAAACAAAACCAATGACCATGTCAATGGATAATTCACATTACACATTCAATCAAGAGTCACAAGAGTTACAGTTGTGGCTGCTTCGCGTGATTTATTGTTGTCTCTACCTTCTTCTTGCCCTTTGTGCTGTTGTCTGTGCCCAATAATGTTTGTACCATGTTTTGTGCTGCTACCATGTTGTGCTGCTGCCATGTTGTGTTGCTACCATGTTGTTGTCATGTTGTGTTGCTACCATGCTGTGTTGTCATGTGTTGCTGCCATGCTATGTTGTTGTCTTAGGTCTCTCTTTACGTAGTGTTGTGGTGTCTCTCTTTATGTAGTGTTGTGGTGTCTCTCTTGTCGTGATGTGTGTTTTGTCCTATATATTTTGTATTATTTGTTTTTAATCCCAGCCCCCGTTCCCGCAGGAGGCCTTTTGCCTTTTTGTAGGCCGTCATTGTAAATAAGAATTTGTTCTTAACTGACTTGCCTATTTAAATAAAGGTTAAATAAATAAATAAAATAAAAACACCAAACAGCGCAGGATGAGACAGCATAATAATTACAATTTCGAAATTGGCCCTGTGAATGTTGATTTGATCGATATCCTTTTATCTTAACCCGGGAACTGTGGTGTTCTTTATGGGGTTGACTTCAGTGGCCTTGTCTTACATCTCAGACTCAGAACACGATAAGGACTCAGGAGTGATGGCAATCTGATTAATTCCTGTTTCGGCATGCACTGACTGGGTGCGTGTGTGGAGTGTGTGTGTCTGTGAGTATGTTTTAGGGGGGAGAAACCATTGAGGGCAGTTGCAACCAGACTGACCGTTTGTGTCTGCGGTGGTCCGGGGAAAAATACAAGTCTGGGCTTGGCCCAGTGCTATGACGACAGCGCCACGCTCTGTGTACCAGCTTTATCAATCACTCCTGCATTCCTCCCCCTCTCTTTCTCTCTCTTGGCGGAACACAAATTAGGTAATGACCGCTGCTCTCCTGTTTAATTGTTTCCTTTCAAAGCCTCTGGCAACAGTCGCCGCCACGGTGTGTACACACACACACACAGACAAACACACACACACACACGTATTGTACACAACCATCCCTCCCATATGTACTGACTGGAATAACATACACACAGACCTTGACACCCGTAGCACACAACCGTGGTAGCACTGTCCTCAGTCTATCCATGATTTAAACTCGTCTCCCTTTCCAAGATCACCGATACGACGACAGATGCATTCAATTTCTCCACGAGAGAGAGAGGACAGGAATATGAGAGTCGGAGCTGTAAACTGAAAACACACCGGTGGATTAGCGGCATGTTTTTCGACGGTTCCTCTTTAACGTCATAGATATTAAGTAATGGCAGATGAAGCTATGTGGGGAGGGCTTCTAATTGGCTCTCCAGTCTTTGGCCGGGGCACGTGTGGAAATAGAAAGAAGATGCGGGGGGGGGGGGGGGGGGGGGTCACTGTGTATCACCGTGTGTGCGTTGGTGTGCATGTGTGTGCTTCAAGTGCAGTGTGTGTGTGCTTCATGGAAAGCAGAAGTGGCCCGTCGGAGGACGGGAGGATTAAGTCTGACCACGGAAGGCTTGTGTCGTTCGATATCACAGAATTCCTTCCTTTCCTTGTCCATTGTGGCTGTTCTGTTTCAGTAACCCTCCATCTGTCCTAGTTCTGACGGGCTGATGTAGTCAGCGGCAGTGTTCTCTCTATCTCTCTTAGTTTTCGGTCTCTACAGTGCTGGGTAGGGAAGATGGTCTCTCTTCTACAAGCAGAGACTTGCATAAACTGGAAGATGTGAAAGTGTCTAGCAGCAATCAGTCAAATTCTATATCACACACACCTGTCTGTGAAACCCTGAAAAACCACAACGTTCCAAAAATATCACCCTGGCGGAATGATTCAACGTTTAGGCCTATTAACTTGCACTGTACTTTTGTTAAACTCCAATGCAACATAATTTCACACCTGTAGTGCACCGGGACATAGTCAACATCCGAGTGCTGGTGAGGGCATGGTATGTAGCTTACATAATATGACACGTCTGTCTTACCTCTGCTGAAGTTAGCGCTGGCCCCTCTGTCCAGCAGCAGCTTGGCGATGTCATAGTGAGCCACGTGCACAGCACACATCAGTGGTGTCCACTCAAACCCCAGCCTTGTCTCCACGTCCAGGCCTAACACGGCATGGATTAGAAAGGTTAAACCAGTCCTTACAGAGTTACAGCACTTAGTTATTTGACTGGGCACAAAGACCCCAGATCAGTAAAATCCATATACTATCTATAAGCTGGAAGTAGAAGCCTGTTGTTGCCCATTAGTTTACTCCAATTAGGGGAGGGGTGGTAGGGTTAGGTGAAAATAATAAAGGAACATATATTTTAAAAGGATAAAAAAAAAAATATATATATATATATATATATATATATATATATATATATTGGGGATTGGAAATGATGCAGACAATTACATTGATGGAAGCAACAATCTATCTGCAATATTAAAGCTGATCTACCCCCTAAATATCACACAGTACCAGTCAAAGGTTTGGACACTGTCAGGGCGTGTGTAGGTGTAGTGTAGGAAATCAAATGCAGGACGCCGACGGTAGGTTCCAAATGCTGTATTTCTGGCCCAACACAGGCAACAGGACAACTAAGCCCAACAGCTAAACTACGCACAAGGCGAAAAGGCAAATGCGCACAAACAGGTGCGACAAACGAAGTGGTGCACGAACAAGTGCAACTGTGCTCCAGCGCAGTGGAGAAAATATGCTCAACCGAGCAAAACACAACACTGACGAAAAACAATCATACACAACACATGACAAACACAACGAGAAACTTATAGGACACTAATTACGTAAAACAGAAACAGGTGTGACACAAACAGACAAAAGCAAACGAACATGAAACATCTATCGGTGGCAGCTAGAATTCCGGAGACGACGAGCGCCGAAGCCTGCCCGAACAAGGAGGAGAGGCAGCCTCGGCCGAAACCGTGACAGTACCCCCCCCTTGACGCGCGGCTCCAGACGCGCGCCGACTCCGGCCTCGGGGACGGCCAGGGGGACGCGGCGCAGGGCGCGTCGGATGCCTCCGATGGAACTCCGTCAGGAGCGACGGGTCCAACACGTCTCTCCTCGGCACCCAGCACCGCTCCTCCGGACCGTACCCCTCCCACTCCACTAGATACTGGAGACCCCCCATCCGACGTCTCGAATCCAAGATGGATCTCACGGAGTACGCCGGTGCCCCCTCGATGTCCAACGGGGGCGGAGGAGTCTCCAAGATCTCATCTTCTTGGAGTGGGCCCGCTACCACCGGCCTGAGAAGGGACACATGGAACGAGGGGTTAATACACTTATACTCCACAGGAAGCTGTAATCTATAACAAACCTCGTTCAACCTCCTCAGGACTTTAAATGGCCCTACAAACCGCCGACCCAGTTTCCGACAGGGCAGGCGGAGGGGCAGGTTTCTGGTAGAGAGCCAGACTCGATCACCAGGTGCGTACACCGGTGCCTCACTGCGGTGGAGATCAGCGCTCGCCTTCTGACGTCGGAGGGCCCGCTGCAGGTGGACGTGTGCAGCGTTCCAAGTCTCCTCCGAGCGCCGCGCCCACTCATCCACCGCAGGAGCCTCGATCTGGCTCTGCTGCCAGGGTGCCAGAACCGGCTGGTAACCTAACACACATTGAAATGGGGTTAGGTTCGTGGAGGAATGGCGTAGGGAATTCTGGGCCATCTCGGCCCAGGGAACGTACCTTGACCACTCCTCCGGCCGGTCCTGGCAGTATGTTCTGAGAAACCTACCCACATCCTGGTTTACGCGTTCCACCTGCCCATTGCTCTCCGGGTGGTAGCCCGAGGTGAGGCTCACCGAGACCCCCAACCGCTCCATAAACGCTCTCCAGACCCTGGAGGTGAATTGGGGACCCCGATCAGCCACAATGTCCTCGGGCACCCCGTAGTGCCGGAACACATGGGTAAACAGTGCCTCGGCAGTTTGCAGGGCCGTAGGAAGACCCGGCATGGGGAGCAAACGACAGGCCTTAGAGAACCGGTCCACAACGACCAGGATGGTGGTATTCCCTTGGGAGAGGGGAAGGTCTGTTATAAAGTCCACTGAGAGGTGGGACCATGGCCGTTGTGGAACGGGCAGGGGTAGCAACTTACCCCTAGGTAAATGTCTAGGCGCCTTACACTGGGCGCACACCGAGCAGGAGGAAACATAAACCCTCACATCCCTAGCCAACGTGGGCCACCAGTACTTGGCACTAAGACAGTGCACTGTCCGGCCGATACCCGGATGTCCAGAGGAGGGTGACGTGTGAGCCCAATAGATCAATCGATCCCGAACCTCGAGCGGAACGTACTTCCGACCCTCCGGGCACTGTGATGGACTAGGGTCGGTGCGTAACGCCCGCTCGAGTTCAGCATCGACCTCCCACACTACCGGCGCCACCAGACACGACGCAGGCAGTATGGGAGTGGGCTCCACGGACCTCTCCTCCGCGTCATACCGCCGAGACAGCGCATCTGCCTTGCCATTCTGTGACCCAGGGATGTACGTGATCTTAAACGTAAACCTGGTCAAGAACATACTCCATCTTGCCTGGCGAGGGTTCAGCCTCCTCGCCGCCCGGATGTACTCCAGGTTACGGTGGTCCGTCAAAATGAGGAAAGGGTGTTGAGCCCCCTCAAGCCAGTGCCTCCACACCTTTAGAGCCTGTACCACGGCTAACAGCTCCCTGTCCCCTACGTCATAGTTCCGCTCCGCCGGACTGAGCTTCTTAGAGTAAAAAGCACAGGGGCGGAGTTTAGGTGGCGCGCCAGATCGTTGTGAAAGCACGGCTCCTAAACCGGCCTCCGACGCGTCCACCTCTACTTGGAACGG